ATCATGTACAGCACTATACACTTCCATTACAGACATGACATTTTAAAATATTTTGCAGTCAGCTACATGGGGAAATAAAACGGAAAAGCCACTTAAGTCTGCTACAAACGGTGGACAAATTTTTGTGGGAAGTGCTTAAAAGAGATTACAATAGTGGTGTTACAAAGAAAAACAAACACCTAGAAGAAACATACCCTGCACTTTCATTAAATGTAGAAGCACATAGGTTGGTCTGAATGACTTGGTGCTTACTGTATCTAGGTCACAGTGGGCTTAACACAGTGTTGCTCCCAGTAGGAATGGTGTTACAGATGTGCCGAGGAACCCTGAGAATGATCCCATGGCCTGTTTTGGAGAGTGCTGTACAAACATTCAAGAAGATGAAGTCGCTACCTGGAGAAGATTATTGTAATTAATGCATGATGCAAGCACTGGGTGTAGCAAACAAATGGAGAATGGGGCACAGTAATGATAGGAAAGTGTAGGTGGATAAACTGGTTATGATGCACAGCTAGCATGAATAAACATAGCAAGAAGAGGATTATTTTATGCTGATTAAGTGGAGTAACTGACTCATACAAACCGGCAATTGGTCACCATAGAACAGTGTTGCATCTCATTTCTATGGTATTTAAGAGTAACATATTGATAAACAGTCTTCCCTAGCACATATGTGGATATGGGCATAGCCTCTACCTTCCTTCCTTAGGTATGTATCAAAAAATTCTTTTCCCATCATGGAAGACACCTCATGAGCATCAGTGCTTGTGAAGTTGCAAGCCCTCTTTTCTCCCTTTAGCAGTATCCTAAAATTCTGATCACCCACCAGTGCTCATGACCATTTCAGGGGTGCTGGAGGATGCTCAAATGGTTGGCTATTTGTCTGGAGCCCCAACCAGATTCCTCCTTGACGCTTTTTCTGTAGAGTTCTCCTGGCACTTCACATAGGCACTCTTTTTCCATGCCTGCTTGCTGATGTTTCTAATATGGGAAGCACCCAAATGCCCAGATTCACATTTGCACCTGCGTTGATGCACAGCTCAGGAGGTTTCTGAGAGAGTGAACACAGAAACATGATCTGCATTGGCTTTAATCCATGGGTAATATGCGGCTTTATGTCTCTGTTATGCTTTACTATGCCAGTGGTGTGGAGGGAACCATCCAGTTTGCAGACTCCTGGGAACCTTGGTGAAGGTGAGCTGGCTCAGCTTCAGTCCAGCCATTCCTGCAGTGCAGGTGTCATGGTCAGAACCATTCGCAGAAAAACTGCAAAAATGGAGGTGACATCTATTCTATAAGGAAAAGTTGTGCTTACAATTCACATGAGGCTGCCTGTATCAGCTTTAGTGTTTACAGGGCAGTCTGTAAAAACCTGTCTGGATACTGGACTAACACATCAGGATCTGAAGAAACTACGGTGGTGCTGCTGTCAGTAACTACTTTAGAGCTGCTCAACTCTCTTTACACATACTTCCAACTCCTTTCCAATCCAAGTCCAGACATGACCAGTTTCACAACGTCTGTGTGAAGGAGTACAGTCATCACCTCTGGAAAGCAAAAGGAGACACTTGGTGGCACCTTGTGAGTAAAGCACAAGACTTCAATCACAGCGATCCCTGTGCTTTCATCACCTACAGATGGTCAGCTTTGGGCATCCTGAGTCCTCCTGGAAGTTGGAACAAGCATTAGAGGGCAGCAACTCCATTGTAATGCTGTTGGAGGCCAAAAGCTGTTGACTTTGGCCCTTTGATCAAAGGGCCAGTGTGAAGGCATCCATCCAGATTTGTGAGTGAAGAAATTATTGGCTGTATTACTCTGAACTTTGTCACCACATTTCTCCCCCAGTCCAAAAAAGCTTGTGTTTGCTAACCTTCATGCCGCCATATGTATCTTTGAGAAAACTGCAGGAATTCTTACTCTCCTCACATATTTTGCAAATAATCCCGACCTACAAAGGATTTCATGCCACAACGTGTAAAAGGTTCGGTAAGACTGACTGTTTTAACTACGAATTCCAAAAGCCTTGACAGATTCAATCTAAGCTGTTTGCTTCATAAAATCAGTAGAAGTTCTTTGTTTTCCAGTCATCTATGGGCTCGCTAAACATCACTGTGGTTTGGCAGATCCACTGCAGATATATTTTCACATCTTCCTTGCTGTAAGCACAGACTAAGAATTTGCCCCAACATTTGCATTTGGAAATAGTTTCTGTACATGATCTGGCCAGGATAGAGTTAAATTTTGTCACAGCAGCCTGCATAGTGCTTTGCTTTGCATTTGTGACTAAACAAGCATTGATAACATACCGTGTTTTAGCAATTGCTGAACAGTTTGCACAGCAGCAAGGCCTTTTCGTTTTCCCACCCTGCCCCACCAAGTGGGTAGGCTGGGGCTGCACAAGAGGCTGGGAGAGGACACAGCTGGGATATAATATCCCAGATGGTACGACATTGTGGTCAGCAAGAAATGCTGGGGGAAGGGAGGATGTTCAGAGTTACGGTGTTTGTCTTCCCAAGCAAGTGCTAGTGTGCCAAGGCCCTGCTTGCCAGAAAGTAGCTGAACACCTGCCTATTGATGGAAAGTGGCAAATGAATTTGTTATTTTGCTTTGCTTTGCAGCTTTGATTCACTTACTAAACTGCCAAACCACAAGTTTTCTTTCTTTTGCCCTTCCAATCCTCCGCCATCCTGTCAGGGGAAAGATATCAAGTGACTGAGTGGGGGCTTAGTTGGCAGCTGGGGTCAACTCACTGCAGTCCTTTTTGGTGTCCAATGTGGAGCAAGAGGACTTTGAGATAAGACTCCTGACCAGAGTGTAGAGGTAGAATTTATAGCTGTTGTTAATTGGCAGGGTTCTGTGCTTGTTTGCCTTACTGTATATTAGAGTCTGGTGCTTGTTAGTAACTGGTTTGGACTTTTGATGTTTATTGTAGCACTTACAATCTTACTCTGCTGTGCCAGAGAACATTTTGCTATCAGCGATGGCCACATGCCTGGTTTGGCACAGGGCCCAGGCATCACTGCTGTACCTGTGCTGCTGCACCAGACAGGCTGGAATATCAGTGGTATGGGGTTGATTCTCAGCATAGCAACTCACGGGGTGTTGTGTTTTAGATTTGTGACTGGAACAGTATTAACAACACAGGGGTGTTTTAGCTGGTACTGAACAGTGTTTGCACAGAGTCAAGGCCTTTGCTTTTTCCCCTCTTTGCCCTGCCAGTGTGGAGGCTGGGGGTGGACAAGAGGTTGGGGAGGAGATGCAACCAGGACAGCTGACCCCAGCTAACCAAAGTCCTATCCATTAGTAAGCAGAAGCAGAATCTTCAACTTGTAAAATTGATGCAGATATATTGAGTCATGCTCCTGCAATCAGTTTTGCATTTGTGTGACTTTACATAGACTCATACATACACACACACACACACACACACACACACACATAAGAACTAATTACTTATTTAGAACATTTATGATCATGGACTTCTTAAACATAAGTGGTTTCACAGTTTTCACATAAAAACTTGGTTCTGCTGAGGTTAGAAAGCATTTATTAACTGTTTTCTAGGGTAAATTCTCATCCCAAAGTTTACTTTTTTTTTTTTTAGTGACTATGTCTTGGTATTGCAATTTCATGGCAACAAATATAAATTAAGCACTATTACAAAATATTTAGAAACTGATCTTTTAAGAAGAAGCAATTATTCATACAATTTCACTGTTTGAAATTAATTCTAATTAGCACTGAAAATTCCCATCAAGCTGAAAATTTTACTTCCATGATGCAATATTTCACTAAATATTGCCAAAGATCTACTACTGTCAAGGCTAATATACAAAATAAAATGTTGATGCTTTTCATGCTACAATATTATCTTTATTTTCCAGTGGAAAATGACAACAGTTTGTAACACAGTATAAAAAAAGAAAAAAAAAGAAAATATTTGTTTAGTTTTTACACTCTTTTCACTCACATTCTAAATCTTCTCTTTGAAATGCCTGGTCTATGAAACAAAGAATTGAAAAACTACTGAAATAACTTGGATAACGCCATCCAAGGTTCAAAGACAAACTACTTTGAAAAATCCACCCTGCTGAATGCTACCTAGTGTGTGATAAGTGAAATGCTGCAATTAAACAATTTACAGGACAGAATCCCAAAACCTGACTGAAAGCTTAGCTAGAACTCTGGAATAATGAGTTCATGGACTGTGTATCTACTTTCACCAGATTTAGCCATCCTGGGAAAAATCCATGTAAGCTCTATGCACAAGAGTGAAAACACTGTTAAAGTGTAAGAGAAGGTGAAGATGTTTCTATTACCCAGTTTCATCCGATCCTCCTCTGCCATCCCCAGGTTGCACTGTCACTGAACAGCTACAGTTCTCAAAGTTTTCCTAATCAAGGGAGCCCCTCCTCCCCATGGTCTGTCTGTCTGGGACTGAGTGTCAGGAGCTCTGGATTCTCACTTTGGTCCTATCATTGCTGTTCCATGACCCGCAAGGTTAAATCACTTCTGTTCTCATTTCTGGGATGGAAAGATACTGCTGATTCTCCCTCCCCTTGCCAGGGCACAGAAGATGAATTATGTGAAATCCACAGCATTTCAGGTGTGCTGGGTATGCAAGAACCAAATCAAAAAACCTCAAAAAACCCATTCTCTGAGGTTTGGATATGACTCAAATGCTGAGATGTGCTCTACCGTTGTCACAGCGTAGATGACAGACATGTGGAGGTGAGAACACCCCTACAATCATTTCTTACCAAGGCATTGCTGGAATGCAGCACCACAGCTCCAGATGAGCACTGGTTTTCCCTCTCATCCCTATGTATGGAGAACATCCACCTGATATAGCTTTCTATTCCTCCTCTGTGCTGCAAAAGCATTATCAAATGGACATAATCAGGGCTCAAGATTAAGGTCAAAGTCTCCATTCCTAGATCTAGAACTTAATATTAAGTAAAAAGTAAGATAGAGTACTGGTCAGAATGAAGAAGTGATAATACAAATCAGAAGGGACCTTTATTTCTTCCCAGAGAAAAGAAGCTGTTTTCTAAAGTGTGTGTTTGTAGGAATGAAACATCTACCAGAGAAATCTCTTTCAATTCCCGCTGGCAAAACATCAAGGTTCTTTGATGATGTAACATTCAAACTACTATGCATGACTGTTTAAAGGGTTTTTCAAAAAAACATGCTCTGCGTGACGACTGCTGAAAGGTTAAGAGCTCCCAGACTCGCCAGTCCTTTTCACAGCCAGACCCCCACCAAAATCACAGCCATAGAGTTCTACCCGAAGGGCAATGCCACGATACCATGTTCTTGGAACAATGCGGATAAACCTGGACAGGATGGGTGGGTTAAAGAAATGCTTGACGTGCCCGTTGCTGTTTTCATTACCCAAGAAAACCTGCAAATACATAAACACACAATTAGTTGAAAGGCAGCGCTTGAAAAAACCCTGTGTTGTTTTTTTTTTTAAATGTTTCCAAGCTGTTGTATTATCCATTGAGGATAGATGGACTGGCTCATTTCTGATTTTACAGAAGACACATCCAGTCTCTTCCTAACATGCTGGGTCAAAAGTAGTTCAGATCAGCAAGATTTGAGTCTGAATGAACAAAAATAGCCTCATTTCCATCCACACCACAAAATTTGCCATTCTAATTTCTAATGGACCCAAAAAGCCAAACTTCCCTTATTTTACCTCTGCCAATAGCCCTTGCGGGTTAGGTTGGTGTGAGGTGACATAGGCAAAAATATAAAGTACTGTGTCTGCCCTATGGGTACCTGAAGTTCCCCAGCTCTGTTACAGGAATACTGCTCACTAACATTACTTGACCTTATAAAATCAAGCAGAAATAGAAAAGAGGCCCCGCATTGTTCATTCAAATTAAATGCCCTTGTGCATTCAAATTAAATGTCCTCCTTTACAAACAGTGTCAGCTCCTTTTATCATGTTGACTGTCTTCTCTACAGATATGGCATTCTTTCCTTCTATTATTGTTAATTACAGTGACTAAAATCAGATGGATATTGTGACATTAAAATGCTGGGGAGCTGGGGTTACTACAGATAAAGTCCTGTGAGAATATCAATTTGTCTGAGCATTCTGGCTTTGAGCCTTGACACTGCTCAGCATCTAAACCCAAGCAATGATACAGTGGCCTGAGCTGAGAATGATACCTTTGCGACTGAGCTTGAACCTTCTGTGTAGGATTTCCACTCTGAGCCTTCGTTGCTGTATAGGATAACATAGGTTTTCACAAAGTTTTCAGTAGACATGGACGTGACCCCCTGGGTGGCAATAGCAGTTATCTTCTTAACTGTGAGGAGATCAATTTGCAGCCACTGTTGGTTGTTGTTAAACTATAATTGATAAAGAAGTTTGTATATTAGCAAACATATCTCTGTGTATTTGCTTAAGTGAAAAATCTTGTTTAAAAATAGTTAAAACTGCATCAAAGTGCATCAAAACTGTATCAAAGAAGTGCAGAAGAGTAAAGCTGAGGCAAGTCACAAGCATTCTTGGTGAACCATACAATTGACTTCATCTCTGCAGGAGGTATACTTGCAGTCTTAAGATTTCCACATTAATTTCAAATATATAACAAAAACAACACAGATTTACCTCCAGTATTAAAACGTTACACATAACACTAATACCAAATGCTTATACAGAACAGCAGCTTCCAGCAAATTTCAAGGTGTTTGGTGAAGAAATGCAGCTCCATTTCGAAGACGCAGAATCTCACATACCTTGCCGAAGGTCATCCACCCCCAGATCCACTAAGCTGCACTGCTTATCAGCCAACCCCAGGAAAGGTTTTTTTAACCCCTTGGAAATGAACATTCAAGGTGCACTCATCTCCTGATATTAAACAGGCTATTCCCGCTGGGAAATGCTGAAGCCTGTGGCCCAGAGCACACCATCCATCTCTCAAAATATGATTTCAATGTTGCTGCCAGAAGTTCAACAAGTTTTCTACTGGAAGAGGTGAATGGGCTTCTTCCCAAAGGATGGCTGTGAAGTAACCCTGTCACGCTTGGCGCTGGACACAGTGAGCAGTAGGTGCAATGGTCACACAGCAGCACAAATTTATTAACTACCTGTCCTGTTGCCATCCCTGCTTTTCACTTGTTACCTTGGCTCGCCAGGCATTCATCTTTCCTTTCTGATTGAGACGAGCAAGTGAAGGGTCCCATGTGTTAAACCAGGATGTCTTAGCAGACGAGGCTGTTATCTGGCTATTCTTGATCTCTCCATTTTCCATTCCAAGTGGCAAAGAGCAACCTGTTGAGAGAAGCACCATGTTATCCTCAGTACATTCAAGTAACCACAACCTAAGCAACAATGTTGGAATTGAGAACACCCACAGTTTTAGCTTCATTTAAACGATTAGGTAAAAAATTTGTAAGAATGGAAGCGCCAGCACGTGACTCTTTCTTACCATCTACTTCACAGCCCAGAAGCTCCATGCGAAGAGTAGGCCTGTTGTAGACCTCAGTGGGGTAGAGTCTGATGTACCTGGCAATAATAGGGGGATCAATGATGTTCTCTTTTACCTCATAGGCATTGGAATTACCTTCAAAAATCTGTAAAAAAAATAAATCCACATATAGTTAATTTAATGCAGACAGAAGCTTGGATGCTGAAAGCCTGCTCTGTTACAAATATAGTCTCTTTTATGCCATTAGCCCCACCCACAGCAATGGACCATGCTGTGCTGCAGGGCAACTTGAAATCTCTCGTGGTCCCATCTTAGCATATTTGGAAGCATCTGAAGGCCTCAGTTTAAATAAACAACCCATTTCTATATAAGTCTGTAAGAAGACATGAGCAAAGAGACAAAAGGAGAGGTAAAAGACGAGAGGTTTTCAATTTGGGAGTTGTACCATAGAAACCTCAGGGTAAACTGAAGGGAGCTGGTGATAGGTAGGGCAGGAGCAGCTGGGCATAAGATGAACCTCTTTCAGGGTACAACCAATTGTACCAATTGCCTTCTGCAGGCAATTCAGATAGCTCAGCATTCAACTGTTGGGACAGCAGACAGGGAGGGACAAGAAGGAGGATCTAATCCCAAATGAGGTAGGGCCTGATTTTTAGTTCAGCTTCCTGCTTGCTTTAAAAAACCTGACACAGGCTTAGGAAATAAAAGGAGGGAGAGATGCTTGTGAGAAAGCCAGACTCTATACAGTTCAGGTCTCAGGGCCAATCCAAATCCCAGTCTAGGTGGTTCCTCAGCTTACAATTTGTCTTCTGGTCTGAATTTTATTAGTTTGGTAAATGCCCTTTGGGGCCCCAAGCTGTATTAGTAAGTCTCTGAAGGCCATAATTTTTTCCACTCTCTCTTAACATAAAACAAAACTGTCATCTCACTGCATCATCCAGTGATGCCGCAAGGTTGTTGCAACTCCTGTGGCACAGACAGACCTTTTGTACTGGTGAGCTGTCTCCTTTGAAGGTGTTCCACGTCCGTTTGTCTTTGCTGTAAACAAGAAAAAACTTCTGGATGTACAAGGACCTTAAAAACTGCTTGGCTCCCTGTGTCTGTATCCCAGTTAACAAAACTTGTCTTTGAAAGTCCACCTAGAAACAGCAAACAGCATTTATAAAGTCAATAATGCACAGCAAAATCCGTATCATTCTTTGACATTTACACAATAGCTTTGAGCCTTGCCTTTTAACACCCACAACACTAACATTCTCAAAAGGAGCAACAACCAGATGCCAGAGTCCAAGTTAATGCTGTCTCACTCTCATTTCATTTGTGTATTTATTCATGTGCACATTTAATTTCAGAGGCCATTTTACAGGGTTCAGCACACCACTACAAAGGCATCTCAAAATTATCTGCATGTCTGGGTAGGCAGAATTCCACTAACCCCGTTTTACAGATAGGAAAAAGAGCACAGAGAAATTAAAGGTTCACACTTTCATAAGCTACTTCTACTTTTTGGCTATGTAGGCTGTGAAAAGGCATATGACATTCTGAAGTGATGAAAAGCCACCATTCCAGCTCATATCATATCCAAGCACTTAGCACATAAAAACAAATCAGCAAGATGTTCCTATCAGCAGTGAAACTCATTCTTTGGGATATGTCTCCACATGTCTGCAGTAACCTTAGCTGCTAATTACCATGGCCCGCTATCTAATTCTTTCTCCTCCCAATGTTATTTCCAGTTCTACATCAGATCTCCCAACCTTCTCCCCCTACTTAACTCACGTAATTTAGTAGCAAGACAAACACAACAGCCACCTGCTGAACTTACACTGAAAACACTAGCTTGAGTCTTCCTTTTCTCCCAACTGCCAATTTTAATGAGATTCGTAAGAAATCAACTATTCTCCCTAAATTTGGGTGCAAATTGGCTATCTGGTGCAAAAGTCACCGGGTTGGAAGAAAAACACAGAAGTGAGGTGATTGAATGATATATTGCTTGAAGTCATAATTATAAACTTATTTCCCTATGAAGCCAAGGACATAGAAGCACACAAACCAACCAAAAAACTATTTGAAGCAATGCTCGAGATCACTCAACAAACACATACATATAAATATGTACCGCTAGGTAGGCAGAGAGAAAAAAAAAAGGAGTAGAAAGAATGACTCTGTTTGCCTACAAAATGGTTACAATATAAATTGTGAGGGTAACTGTCCAGTCAATGGGCCTCAACAGCAGTAGAGACTGTGTTACTGCAGAGAGATGGACAGTTATGACATCACCACAGCACCAACTTGTAACACCTTCTCAGTTTTCCCCAGCAGTTTTCTCAGTGACAACAAGAGCAGCATGACCTTCTAAAATAAACTCTTGGAAAATCAAAGCTCAGTGATGGTCAAGCACATGTTGTACCAACCATACCTGGATCCAAGAGAGTTTTTCTTCCTTCATTGTAGTACTCCAAGCATTGTATGTCCCAGAATTGTCTAATCGGGCTAATTTAGGTTCCCAATAGTCTAGACAGAAAATATGAACAAAGCAAGAAATTTAAGAGAAGTGCTGAAAAAAAAAAGAAGGCTGTAACTAGCTACTGATCTTGAGTGCTTCATTTTTAACCTCCAGTCTGTCTTGGGGAAAAAAAAAACCACCAACCCAGCATCAAGAGATTCAAATCATAATCTAGGATAATTTGGATATGGTCAGCCACTGAAAATCAGCTGTTACCATGCAAAGCTTTATAGTTTGCAGAATGACTTTTAAAATAGCAGCTTTTTATGCAATATACTGTCTGCTGATTTGGAATCAGGGTCTAGAGTTTGCTAAACAAGTTTTGGCTGCCAGCAGGATCAGACACAAAATGTGCTCTACATTCATGGAAGACAGTTCCCCTCTGCATAACAAGGTTTCCATGTTAACAACTGGTATAGAATACACAGACAAAACAGCTTTCAAGCCTTCATAAGACTTTGTCAGGAAACAAAGAAAGAAAACCAAACCCACAGAAAATTAAGTTTTACAAAGTAAATAGTTTATTTGTTATTTCAAGGGAAAGGATGTGTGTTCCTGCATGTGTGTGTAACCTGTACATCCTGATTTGACACTGTCCGTGTAAAATTCTAACAACTTCTCTACCAAATGATCCCACTTTTATATCATGGGCAAACTTGATAAATTAAAGACTGTGATTGCTCTGGATGCCAGGGTTTCCAAATCCTTCATAACAGATGTACTTGTCCCTTCACATCTCATCTCACATACAAATCTCAAAAGCTTTTTGAATGCTTGGTGTTCATTTTCAAGCAGGGAACCCACAGGACTCTCAAACCTGTGATACTGACGGCAGACCTGTGACATTGTTAAAACACAACGATGATGGCTACCTAATACAGCTCACAGTCTCTGCTTCCAGCATTGGAGAGATTTTTAACCTGACAGCTGATTCACTGCTGAACTGATCTTGTAAGAAATATCATGAGATGCTGAAAAAATATGGAACTACACTTTTCTGGAGATATTTAGGAGCATGGAAGGACCTTTTCAAGTATTAACTCACCTATGTGATCTGAAGCTTCAATCTGTGAATCGAGTATAACTCCACTTGCCAGACCCATTGGAATCCTGCACTCTAAAGAGAGCATAGTAAGTTTGTTGTTAAAGAAAATGAGTGATATACCAGTATATATTCTGGTGAAATCAAAGACAACATCACTCAGAACAATTCTTAGTAATACTATGACACCACTCCCTTCCCACAGAAGTCCAAGTTAAGGTCTGCAATTTCTCTCAACAGATTAATCCACTGATCACCGTGGGGAAACCTCGAATTCAAAGCCAGTACGCTAAAGGAGTAAAGCTAGCATGCTAAATAATTCAAAGCTAGTATTGCTAGAAGCTAAAAATTTTTTCTTTGAGAAGAAATTTACAGTAACCACTCCACCCTCTCTCTGAATGCACAGATAATCTCCTATGTTTTTTTGCAGAAAAATCTCCCAAATTTATTTTCAGTGATCCTGAAAGGGTAGAGAAGACTCCATAGCTTGACTCCTCCAGCCAAAAACCACCTTAGTTCAGTACCTTTCTCTATAACCAAATAGGATGTCTGCATTCCTGCTTGCTGATATTCCCCCACTTCAGTGTCTAAAAGCCACCAGCCAGGCCTCTGTGGCTTCATTTCAATTGTTCTAAATGAACCTTAAAAAAAAGGAAGAGAAATGTATCAGAAACATTATATTACAAGGTTGATGTAAGCGAGGCTGAATGTTAAACCAAAGACCATGCTACGACTTAATTCAGAAAATTTAAACACACATCGCAGAGAGAGCAAAAACTACCACCATCTCGGTGATTTCTTTTCTTAGTGAGGAAGTTGTAGCTGGAGACTGAGATTAGAATTGAATGATCAGATCAAAACCCAACCTTTGCTGCTGGTGTAAAGTACAAAACCTTGGATGCCTGTCAGATATATCTACATACTAACTACAGCGCTGAGCTGTGTAATGAACAGCGCTATCAAGTTTATTACATAATGCAGAGATGTTAATTCTGTGGTGCTGGTTATAGTTCTCATTCCTGCTGCCCCAGTGGGTTGTTCAAGTGACATAAAGGATAGATGAAAAGAAGCCAAAAGTAGGTGGGGGAGAACCAGATCTATAGGCCTTCCCCTCACTTTCTGCATGACCCAGGAGTGCCAAGGATTGAGCAGGAAGCAGATACTGTTTTGGCTGCTTGCTGCACTCTTTAGAAAGCAAGTACATGCCTTCATTGCTTTTCCTATATTCCTAGTTACTGCAGACATGACAGTTCTGGTTCCCATTTAAACAAAAATATGTAGATTTCATAGTGAAAAGCACCACCTTAAAAAATAATGAAATAAAATAGTGAATAAACTACCGAATGTTCACTAAGCCAAAGTCCTATTATTCCAATCTTGGTTTTTTTAAATTTCCTTGTTGTCTTCTTTTTTTTTTAAACTTCTTGTAGCTGGCAATACAGGCTTCATAAATGCTGTTACTGCAGACTTGCACTGCTGACAGCAAGGGGGCAAAGGAATATATCCTGTAGCCTAATGAATACTTTTAGCCTATTTCTTTTCTCCCTGGACATAAGAATTCTACAGCTCACATTTGTTCTTCCTGTTCTGTATCACATACCTTGACATTACAAAAAAAGCTCTCACCATAAGGAGACCTTGACATTGGTATGATGAGGACAGATTGCCCTGGTCACTCCACAGAACTTGCTCTGCTCTGATACTTACCTGGAAGGAGTGTGTATGTACCAAGCTGATGCTCTGGCTCTCCCTGTTCTATGAAAGTCTGACCATGAAAATGAACAACATGAATGTCTTTTGGACCACCCATGTTCAGCAAATGCCATCGGACCCGTTCACCTTCATACATCCTCAAGCCTTGCAAATTGTGGGTAATCCCATTAATGGCTGAAAAAAAAATTTTTTTAGTAAGGAAAACTGCTCACAAAACAGGTCTCAAATTGCTAGAATGGAATTATTAAAATTAGTGAAATATTTAATGAAGTAATGCATTTGGGAAAAATGGCACCTTTTCTCCCATTCAAAGTGCAACACACTTTACAGTCTCTGTATATTCATTCAGAAAATCCAGTGACCTCATCAGAGGATTTGAGCTAAGTTTGCTAGCAACACATGGCAGCCAGGAGAACAAAGAGAACTAAATGTCAAATGGGAATATCAGGTCCAAAAGGACAACTTTCCAAAACACGTTCTCCAGCTTGCATACAGGCATACAGATACAACTGACATCTTTGGTTAATAATTGATTTTACAGACCACATTTTCAAAAGGCAGATTCCACTTGTCAACATGTCCTTTTAAAACATGGTCACTCACAGCACACAAGCATCAGCTTTCCAAAGATGTAAACATAGAGTTTCACTACCGACCATTATTTCACAGAGGAAAAAGTGTTACCTTTGAACATTCAGCCACCCACTTAACTCTACAGCACTAAAATCTCTATAGCCACAGAGAGGTATATTAAGGGCTGTTCTACAGCTGCTTCGAATTCCTCAATAGAACTAGCCAATTTGTCAAATTATTACAATATTTTTAAAAATTTCTTACAAAATGTTGTCAGGGTATTAGCTTCTGAAAAGCGGAGGCTTTTTTGTTTCTTTTTTCTTTTTTTTTTTTTTTAATTTTAATATGGGGGTAGATGTATGTAAGTGGAAGAGAGAAGCTTCCTATTGAAAGTTTCAGTCCAATACATCCTTTCTTCATTTTAATAGAAAATTTTCAGTCATTGCTAACCTTTATATTGCTAAGCCTGACAATTACAGGTACAACGGATAATGACAAAAACCCATTCACATAATTAACGTGTAGGATTTACGCACGTTGAAGAGGACTGAGAGCTGAGACATCTCCCCCAGCATCTTTCTCTCTACCCCAATAAACTGAATAACTGGAAAAAGGAAATAAGTACCATAAAATTTGTGGCATTGCTCCATTCCTTGTGTCTTCTCACTACAAGGCCTTCTAGCACGTTTGTCGAAGTACCAGCTTTTCTCTTCATCGAAGACCATAAAAAGCAAGAAAAAGTCTCGGGTAGATGTCCCGCTGCTGTTTGATTTGCTGAAGGTTCCTTTTTGACAGATCAGTATCGGCCCAATCAAACCAGAGTGAATATCTTTCTCCTAAAAGGTAATACATCCACATTAGATGTAGAAGTGGATTTCCCAAAATGTGTAAAAAATCACATAGCATTCTGCAGGATTGCATCAGACCCTAAAAATCTAAAGCAGACTCCAGAATTGCTGTTGCCTTGTATTTTTACTGTCCCCTGCTCAGTCTACCAGAGTTCCCCAATTTGAATTCCTCAACAGCTTACGTCCTGCTTTAGCTGAGTGTAAGAGATTAAATGTCAGATGGGAACACCAAGCCCAAAAGAAAAGACAGCTATCCAAAGACGTGTTCTGCATCTTGCATTTCTACAGCCATAAAGTAACATCATCTGGAGATATTCAAAACCCGACTGGACACAATCCTGGACAACCTCGTGTAACCGACCCTGCTTGAATTGTGGACTAGATGATCTCTAGTGATCCCTTCCAACATAAATGCTTCTGTTATTCTGTGATCAACCCCAGCAACACTACCACTTCTATTTTGATTTCCTTACCATATTTAAATCCGAGTAGTAGATCCATGACCGACAAGCTGCTCCTGACTGCACAGGCCCCGATCGCCTGTTTGCATACCATACATATATGTAGCTGTTATTTGGCTGGACTTCATCATCTTCCTTAAACCAAGCAGTAGATTCGTCATCATAAATGCTTCCCTCAGAGGACTTCTCATAGAGAAGTCCATGAGCATGGAGGGAATATGGTCTGGATGCCAGATTCTTAAAGTGAACCTAAAAAAAATAAAATAGATACTATTCAGCAAATTCAGGCCTAAAACAAAGTCCCCACAAAACACATTCCCATATCCTCAAACCAAGGTCTAGATTTGTATAATGATTACAGGCTATGTTATACATGGAAAAGCTGGCAGGGATAGCTTCTGACATTTCCATGCTGACTCACCATCTTGATGTAGGTAGATAATGAAAAATCAGAAAGCACAAGTCTAGCTCCCTGTCTTCCACCGAGTCTAGGCTCCTAGGACTTTTACTGCTGCCCCTCATACCTGGAACGGTTTAGTTACTGCAAGCAGGGAGGCAGGGAGTTCCTACCTCTTATGCTTTGCTGCAGTTGTGCTAAAGAAAGGCACAAACTGGTAACTCTAGGCTCTGTATGTATCATTCTCACTGAAATCAGTGCTTCACACTTGTCCCATAGAAGCACCAGGGTAGGCAGATTATATATTTACCTCTCCCTAGAGAATGACACTCCCAAGCTATAAAAGCCTTTTTCTTTTCTTACTCGTGTTTTAAATGTAGCTCAGTGTGCTCCTGTTGCACACTACTCCTACTGAAATAAGCAGAAAGCAGTGAGATCTACTCTCCCTAAGTCCATCCCTATGTGTTGGAAGACTGGATGAAGAAGTAGAGAAGGGACTTTTTATAGGAATGTGCTTCCTAATGCACTGTATCACCGGGGATACAGTATCTCTCATCCTTGTTGATTGTACTAGAACTATCCAACCCATTTACAGCAAAGGTTTTAGAGGAAATTATATATTTTTCAAAAAAGTTTATATTAATCTTGAACACAGAATTACTAAGTTCTTTAAAAAAATTAAGAAGTTCTCTTTACATATAAAAAGTAATATTTCCAGTGCAATCTGAGTTTAGAAAACTCATTTTTCATTGACATTAAACCTAAATATCATTTTACATTTGACTGATAAGCCAGTATTTAATGTTGGGAAACATAAGAAAGAAAAACAGAATTTAATTTACTGTGGAGAGAAGAGAAAAAGGATGTCTTTAAAGAAACACATCAGAGTGCTTGCAAGTCCACAGTGCAATTTCTAGCTTTGAAAACTGTTTCCCTATCATTATCTTTTAAAAATCTGTTGTTTTTTTAGATCTATTCCATGTCACATTCTAAGACTACCATAAGAATCTTATCCTGCACACACATTCAAAACACTGACTTACTAGGATAACGTCGTCCACTTCAGCTCGGATAACTGGCCCCAGGATGCCAAGGTGTTCTGTGTATTCATCTTCATCCTGAAGAGTCGTAAAGGTACTGTCTGTATAGCTTTGGAAAATCACCTTATATCTGGTGCCATCTTTACAGGTTTTGTCACTCATCATTGGACTGAAAGGAAATCCTCAATTAAAAACCCACACAGTGAAACAGAAATAATAGCTTTGATGAAACCCGAGAACCAATATGTAGGAACATTTTAGAATATAAAGAATAAACACTCAAATGGCCTCAAGTTGTGCCAAGGGAGGTTTAGATTGGATATTAGGAAAAATTTCTTTACCAAAAGGTAAAATTGTTGAGCCCTGGAACAGGTTGCCCAGGAAAGTGGTTGAGTCACTAGCCCTGGAGGTATTTAAAACATATGCAGATGTGACACTTATCGGACATAGTTTAGCGGTGGGCTTGGCAATGCTGGGTTAAAGGTTGGACTCTATTATGATCTTAGAGGTTTCTTTCCAACCTAAATGACTCTATGATTCCATGAAATAAGTGTCAGATGATTCTGCAAATCATGACTTGCAATGTTTAAGCAATTCTAGCTCTACAGTTGTATGAGATCCTTCAACAATTTGGTCAGCTACCACTGAAAGACTCCAATTAGTCTCTGAAAATCCACTTGAGCTCTATTTACCTTTTATACCAAGAGCCTTAATGTGAATGAGAGCTTAGCTCAGTGTAGTGAGCATACCACCTATATCCTACTGTCTTACAGATGCACCTTCTCTTCAACATACTGAGAAAATATATGCCATGGGCTCTGCTAAATTCACTGGAACTACGCACCTCACACCAGCTGAAGATGAACCTCACTGGAGAGATCTATACAGAGCTCTAAGCATAACATTTTCCTTATTTTGCAAATGCCCAAAGAAACTGTTTGTGGTATTTTTGCAAGTGCCATTTATACAGACTGAGATGAGGCAGGAAAGTGGAGGGAAAATATCCATCAAATAAAATGGAAATACAATTTGAGAAATAATATATGTTTGGAGATTAATTTTGTATAATGAAAATTTTCTTGCTCCTGTTTTATCTACTTTTGATAAAAATCCAAAGTTGTGGCAGTTTTGGTCTTGTTTATTTCAAGGGCCACAAGATTTAGGATTTTGTTGAGAAGTGACAAGGAATTCTATGCCTTGTAGGGTGAGCACTGATCCTAACTTGTATGAACTAAGATAGTAAATTTTTAGTACAGTGTTTTTCTCAAGTCACATATATTCTTCACCGCGGCATAGTGGTCAGTCTTCCCTGTCAAAATATAAGAAGACCCCTCAACAATAGGGTTTGTGATCCAGTCACCTTCTGATTTCTCTAAACAGCAGGAACAACAATGCAATAATTCATGCAGCTTTGCTTTTATTTTACACCCGGGTGGTTAATCACTTTGCAGATTTCATATACTTTTCAATACTGCAGCCTTGTGAAGCTCTAAAGCTTTATCCTGTTTTACAACAGAGAACTGAGACACTAGGACCATTTCCTGCTAGTGCAAGAAACTGTGATTCATCCTGCCTATAAGCTCATCCTGTCTATATCACATCAGTTAGTCCGCTGAATTCGTGGAAAGACTTTGCTCAAGGAGGTCTCTGTCCTGTCTCTAGCACAGGTACCAAGAATTCAAGTTGGAACTAAAACAGGTCATTCAAGTATAACAAGACTAACTGCAAGTTTCCCTCTTACAGTGAATTTTTTAACTTCTGTATTAAAGAGTGATTCTAATGAGTCTATAAAAGGGGGTTAAGAAAACAAAAAACAAAAAACCCAAAACAAACAAACAAACAATAGAAGAAGAGTTCTTAGCTATGTTCTTAGCTATGCTCTTGATTATAATAATATCTATCACATTTCTAGGGGGCCCAAGCCTCCCATGGAAAACTCTTACGATACCGCCACTGAAACATTGGAAATCACATGGCACATTACAGATGCTTTTAAGTTTATCAGCATGTGAATCAACATTCTGCTAGTGTGTGTCAGGATGGCGTGCAAAATGAAAACAAGCAATTTAACCAAACCTTTTTTTATATCCTGCATAGTTCCAGCAGACCTCTTCAGCTGCAATATAGTATCTCCTCTCATTCCCTCTGCTGCGCAGGTAATGTTCAGCAATGTTCTCTGGGTTACGTTGCTCGTTGATATTCAGCTTGGGGTCTGTCATGTATGGGTCATCCACGTTCACATAATGGTACTCGTATTCAACACCTGATGTTTCCTCCCTGTCAGATTCTCCCGTGAGAATCTCGTAGTCTCCATTTTCTTTGGGAAGCCCAATTGTGATCGATGGCCTAAGCTGCCGTGGGGTGAGTGTGTAATTTTGCAGCTCTCTGTGCCTGGCTCTACTCAGATCCATTGCATGGTTGGCCTCACTGGGTGCCCCTGTGGTGTTAGTGCAGCACGGCGGTGCTGTGTGGTTGGTCTCACCCGGAAACACCCCTGCCAAAGAATTGGTGACTGTTTGGGAGTTTTTACTCCTTGGGCCCAGCGAGTGGATCATTTTTGGATCTTCCTTCTTTTTCCTTCGGATCTTGATGGAGGTTCCAGACGTACTTAAAGTATCATTCTTGTTTTCTTCCTTTCCTTTCTGAGTTGGGTGCATGTGGCTCCCTTTCTGGTTTTCCCCCACTAGATGTGAGAACTCTTGATACTTCTTCATATCCTCCTTATTTATGAATGCTGTACCATTTCTGCCATGATGATTTAACTTACTGCCAACAGATTTATCTAAATTTGCCTCTTCTCCCAGATTACTCTTTGCAGACACCAAATTCCATTCCTCACTAGTCATTTTAGATGAATATTTCCCTACTCTGGGCAGTGACTCTTCTAAGTTCTTCACTACTGCAGGGCTGGAATTAGGGCTTGTATCACCTAAAATATGATCTAAAGATAAAGCATCTGCTAGTTGATCTTTAGATATCTTGGGTTCATAAAGGTTGGATGCATTAGACTCATCTCCTGCTATGAGGTCCAAAGCAAGTGTCAAGTTAACTGCACGCACAGCATTTTCCATCTTGTTTTCCTCATCTACCAGTTCATCACCATAATCATTCAGAAACTGGGCAGATCCCACCATGGCTATATTGGAGGTGTTCCCTGTGTGATTCACAGAAGGAGGTGCACTAGTCTTGTCAAAAAATGAGACATTTTTATTTCGTACGTGATTTAGAAGGGCATTCATTTTTTGGACAGAGTAAAACTTCATGGCCAATGAGCTTCGTCTTTTCCTGTTAATGTTATAATTTCCTCTTTCTGTGGTTTCCACCTGATCTTCTTCTGAAAAAAATTTACTGTCCTTTCCACCAGCTGGAAGCTCTTCTGCAACATTCATTGGGCCTTCCCCATTGCTCAGCAAGTGTTCACCTGCAGACATGTCACCGTGAGCTATTTCATAATTGCTTTGGCTTCTATTCTCAAATACCAAGTCAGCCGTTTCATCACTTGTGGTAGCTAAAAATAAAGCCTCTTCTGCTGCGATTGATGTGTGATTTGACTGGAATGTTTCAGCCTTGATTAGGGGAAGAGGGGTGATATGAGTTTCTAAGAATTTAGAGTTGCGTGTTGATTCACTACTATTTATAGTTGTCAGACCGGAGCCAGCTGCCATCTCAGAACTCGTGGCATCAGTGCCTTCATACTGATCCCAGGCTAGTGCTGTAAGGTTTTCTTTTTCTTCGTCATCTGCTGGCTTCCTTGAGCTTCGGATGGAGTAAAGAGAAGCCAGGTATTCCTGATAATCCAAGTCCTCTGGATCTTCCTCTTCTTCTTGCACATCTTCCTCAACTGAGGCAGAAACAGCCTTTTTTTCAGTCTTGATGTGAGTGAAATCCACAACATCAAACGTGTAATCTTCCTCATATTCACATCTGGCATCTCTGAACCTCAGCCGCATGCCGTAACTCATCTCTGAGGTACCCCAGGACGCTAAAAGCCAAGTACCTGCCATGGAAATAAAAGTGTTATGAGAGTGGACATTGTCTATCATGTAAGTGGCCAAGGCAAGTGGTTGTGTTTGTTTCTACAGCACCTGCTATAGCAGAATGCTAATTTTCGTCCGGGACTTTCATGACCTCTCATTGCAATGAAAAATAATTAATAAATGTAAATAAATAAGAGCGCATATAAATAAATACATACACCTAAGAGATGGAACTCTTCTCCACAGATTAAGCTGTATATAGGACCTGAGTCCAAACATAACCCATGAAAGAGATGGATATGGAAAGAAAGAAATAAAATAAAGGATCTTATGTTTAGATCAGCATCTGAGATTGGGACCTCTTGAGATAAAGTTTCAGTTTTATCCTGTCCTTAGTGTTGTATGCACTGCCACACAGATAGAACATTCTAAGCAGAACAAATATATTCTGAGGCAGTGCTGACAAGCATCTGATACAGTGTTTTAAAAGCTTTTGAATGCATAAAGGATAATCTTTAATAAGTATAAAAAGTAATTTGAATTTCCAATCTGACACAAAACATTAAGCTGCCAAGCTGAGACATCTTAGATTAACTTAAAGGTTTTATAATTCTTCCAAAACCTAGTCAGAAGTTGTTCTCTATTTGAACCTAGGATCTGCAGAGAAGAAAATACAATCTGTTTCCCTAAACAACATCAAATCGAGTTCTTTGCTTGATACTATTTGCTTTTGGAATTGACACAATAGATAGAAATAAGAGAGCTTGAGTAAAAGAGTCTTTTTTATTCAAGAGATCACATAAAATTTTTCCTCTATTTATCAGAGTTTAAAGTGGCCTGCATAATTTTCCTGATTTCTAACAGCAGCAAATTTATCAAAGAAAACATGTCCTAGATGGAAAGAATAGATCACATAACAAAATCAAGCAAAGTACAACTTACTACTGGGGAGGTTTCTATGAAGTCTAATGGAGTTTTAATGATTCCCGAGTCTTGAACAATAAAAAGCACTTAGCATACCATACATTTTTAAGTTATAAGGTCTTGATGTTGTGTGATCACCGAAAACAAGCTTTGAGAACATAGAGAATTTATTATTTAAATAGATAAAATATAAAAAAAAATTGGTCTTTTAAATGGGATAAGGATACCTAAACTTTCTGGGATTTTAGATGATCACTAAAATCTCACAAACTTCAATGATGAAGAATCTCTGTCCTTTTGGAGGTAATTCTTAAAGTGTGTACTACATGGGTTCTAGCAACCATTTTTTCAAGATATGCTGTTAATCCTAGTTAGATGTTGAGATGTATCCGACAGGTCAGTGACCCCGTTCAACCAGGCAGACTTTACTGCTGTTAAATGACCACAAGCCTAAGCTGAGGTGTAGCTATTTTGTCCAGTAATGACTAGCATAATTTGACAGTTTTGGCCCATTTTAGCCTGCTCGGGATAGAAAAGTATGTGGCAAAATTGGAAATCATACAGTGCAGTTGATACTGGATCGCTTTGAAGAAGAATCTTAGAATTGCCTTAAAATGATCATTACTAAGCCCAATGCTAATTGTGCAGTAGAAAAAAAAAACAAACTACAAGACAACCAACAAAAAGAGCCTCAGTATAGCATACACTTATGCTGAGTGCTAAGTCTGTGTAGCCAACAAAACTCCCTATACATCAGTTGCACTGGGGCAATGATTCAACGGTTTCCAGCACCGTGTTCATCTGAAAAGTTTTCTTTCCTATTTAGGTAAGTCATTATAGATTGGAGATTAAATAATATCTTAGAAGAGCTGTCAAACACTATAGTTTTACCACTTACCACCATTGTCCATTTCCACTGTGACTGATTCTCCACTCATCGGGAAAAGGTTCAATGTATCTTCATATTTCCCTCGATACAGAAAAGAGTGTCCAGAAAGGCGAACAGAGACAATCTCATCATGAGTGCCAACACTGGAAAAGTGCCACTGAACCACAGTATCTTGGCAAAATCCAAGAATTTCACTGCTGTCAGACACATAGCCATTTATTGCTAAAAGGAAAACAAAGTAAAAGTGATCTCAATATTTTCAGAGTAAGACTTTTAAAACCTCCCGTTCTTTGATGTCAGTCCACTGAACTGGACTCACTGGAAAGAGGCTGGCACAGGGATGAAATTGCAGTAGCCTTGATGGAGATTCCATCTCTGGAAATAGTAACTCTAAGGCAACAGGGTGTTGTATTGAAGTTTAATTAACCCTTGCCTTTGCTTCAGGGTCCAGAGCAAGCCCAGTCCCTAGTGGCAAGGTGGGAGTTGGCCTCTTCTCACAGACAGCTAGTGATAGGACAAGGGGAAATGGCCTCAAGTTGCACCAGGAGAGGTTCAGGTTGGATATTCAGAAAAATTTCTTTGCTGAAAGAGTGGTTAAGCATTGGAACAGGCTCCCCGGGGAAGTGGTGGAATTGTCCCTGGAAGTGTTCAAAAAACAAGTGGACGTTGCACTTTGTAGTATGGTTTAGTGGGCATGGAGGTATTAGGTCACAGGTTGGACTTGATGATCTGGGAGATCTTTTCCAACCTAAATAATTCTACGATATTGCATATTTCTGTACAGTGTCACCTGGCATGGTTAGAAGTTCCCTGACCCTCTATAGAATTCCCTGATTACACATACTTCTAAATACAAGCAATCACTGAATGCTCAGATTAATATAAGCTTTCATATTATTCATCTTGATATCCCACTCACTGTGCATTACGTTTGAGTTATAGAACTTGGGATCATCCCTTTTAACACTGGCTGGGTTGCTGCAATACTCCTTGATGTTATCCTCTAGGTACCAGCTCTTATTTTCATCGAACACAGCAAACATTGCCTGCTGCTCTCCATCTGCCTTTTTCTGAAAGACAATCAATACAGCAGTCAGATTTTATGAGCAGACACATGTATTAAGGACTCAGTCTTACAATCTTCCTTAATTACTATGGGAGAAACATAAGTTTCACCAGAGTCGTGGTAAGCATGATCCAAGGGCTGAGGGAAAGGGAGCAGGGGGTCCAAATTTTAAGTTGTGGTGGAGCACTGAGCAAGCCACTTGCACTGGTTATACACAGATGGTTTAAGACTGGGCTCTCTGTAAGAGTACCAGACTTCTGACTTGACCTGAGCATATGCTTTTGACATTTTTTTCTCCCAACTGATGCTGATGTCTTTGCCAAGCAACATTTTCATGAATGGCAATGAGAACCACTCTCCCAGAACTCTCCCATGCTGTTTGGGTTGTTCTGGGTTAATTGATGTCTGAGACTGTCAGATGCTGTTGGGTTATATCTGTTACAGAAAGGGACCAGGTCTGATCTGAATGTCTTTAGAGTATGAAGATATAATAGCAGCAGGAAAATTTATTATCAAATCTAGAGATAGACTTTCAAGTCGGGCTGACCTTTTGCTGATATGCTGCTCTTGCTAAGAAAAATATAATTCCTCTACTGCTGCGGACAGTTAGAGGACTGTTTCTTTGAGTGATTTCTTCAAGAACCTATTGGTTTAATTGTTCTCTACAGAACAATTCTATAAGGGAGAACCAAATTCTCTGTAGATCAAATACCATTATTTGAGCCAAATCTGTCTCTCAGAGGTTGCCAAACATGTTACCTGCACACCCTTCTGCGTCAGTGCTTCACTTTTGCAAATCAGCAGTGGGCCAATCAGCCCAGAGGCTATATCTCTCTCAATATTTACAGCACTATGATATAGCCTTGTAATACATTGAGCATCCTGTCGAGTGGGTTGGTCCGTTTTAGAGATTTTCCATTCGTAAGTGTACGTCTTCCCTGGTTCAACTCCTCTACTCTGGGTGCCATTGCCTAAGGAAAAACAAAGAAGAAGAACAATAATAACACAAACCAAGAGCCAGGTCTTAATGTCAAGCTGCACCTTTCTAGGTGCAGTTAGGCCATTTCAAGCTGCCTTGAGATAACTGAATGAATTTTTTCTCTCTCTAAGATCATGAACAAGAACAGAAAACTAAGACACCATAAAAGGGTATTTGTCTCTGCTTTGCAGAAAATACCTTGGTGTCTCTATAAGACAACACAACAGGTAAGCAGAGGCAGAGAACAGAACTGAAGTCTCCCAGTCATGCACATTCCTAGACACAGCATCTCCTTCAAAGCAACGAAACCATCCACAACAGTCAGTGATAGGTAAAATATATTTCACAAATTTTTTACTTGTGTGGTCCAGAGGATAATCAGCTCCTTCTGCATTCTTTGAAAGTGTCACTCCATGGAAATAAATGCTGTAGGGTCGACTGGCCTTATTTTTGAATACGACCTATATTGATAGGCAAAAATAATAAAAAAAAATTAGTATTCAATAAATCCTTGTCTGAATACATAACAAAGTTTCCACTATGGTAGAATTTGCCTGGTTTCAGCCCAGGAAGTGCCAGAGAGGCAAAGGGATGTAATAAATATTGTCTGATAATATAAACCCACAGTCTAAATGATGCTAGTACCCTGCTTCTAGACTTTGTAGAGCCCACTGAGTGAAGTTCAGCTGCTTACACCTGGTCTCTGGAAGGTCTAAAAAGAACACTTGTTCTTCCACTTACTAGGCACACACTGTCTCTGGAAATATGAAGTTATTGACTACACTTCTTCGTAACCTTCAATATGGGAGAAAACAAATTTAAAACCAAATCTTGTCCCCAGTTCCAAGATCCAATGCGGATATGCAAGGAAAAGGCAAAATGTCCTGTCTATTCTTGATGAAAACAGGAGGGGAAAAAAAAGAAAAAAAAAGAAAAACCCCCCAAACAAAACATGATAAACTCAAATTCAGAGTCACATAGTCATGGTGGAAATTATGGAAATTAAAGGTCACAGAAATTTGTGATGCATCATTAAGTGACAACAGAAAGACAAGCAGATGTGACAGCAGCACAAGCCTGTCAAGTAAATGCTTTGTAGTTTCATAGCATAACTTCATGAAAGAACATATGGAAATTGAGTACTATCGTTTAAAGCAGCCAGGAAAAAAAAAATCAACATAATACAGGAGGGACTCATGAAGTTTGGCCTCACATACAAATCCCCCCAGAAGTCTATCCAAGTTTAGCTTTTTTCCCATTTTGGACCAACGTCAACATATATTTTACAAAGAGTGTGAATGAAGCATGTTTATGTTGTAAAATAAAGCACAAACATGGAAAATATAGAGGGAAAGCCAAAAAATGCAAGCTAAACACTGTCACTTGTGATCATACCTTTTAATAGGGCAAATATTTATAACATTTGCTGTTTTTGACAAACAATACAAATCTAACCGGTTCTTTTGTATTTCTGCCCCAATGAAAATTATGCTACAGTATAAATAATATCTGCATTTATGTTACTTACTTTGACTTTGTCATTAAGTTGAGCTCTGATAACAGGGCCCAAGATCCCAGTTTCCTTTGGGCGGGGATTTTCCAGACGTTTTGTGAAGGTGGCATCAGTGTATTGCCTAAAAATAGCCTTTTTATACCTTTTACCTATGAGATTTGAGAAGTTGTCCAAGTGTTGTGTTTTATAGTGTCTTAAAAATAAAGGAAAAGACAAATGATTAACAAAACTTGAATAGTAACATCTTTTAGAATACAAAATTAGTACTCAAGCAACTGGTAGAAGCTTCACTGCTTGAAAAAAAATCCAAACCCCAAACTGACCTAACACTCTTCACCCCAAATTCTAACCTAAATTAGGTAAGAAGAATCTTGGACCATTACTTGTGTTTCAGTATCACATATGACCAATTAGTATCAGAGTTTACATTTAATTTAACAGGGTATACATGCAAGAAGGAAACAAACTGAAGCAGGAGATACATTTTCAAGGTAAGACAACAGAAATTACTGTTCTCCTTTTACAAAAGCATAGTTGAGCATAGAAAAAATAAACAATTTGCTTACAGTAGCAAAGTCTCCAGGTGAAATAGGAACAGATAATCTTAATGCCAGTCAAGTACTATACAGTCAGTAGTGTTACACTGAGGTTTAAAACATTAAAATTTTTAATGCTGAGAGTAAAACTAGGATAAATACTGGGAAGTTACACAGAGTAACATGTTCACCATCACTTGCACTCCAAAAAAGGTTACTAAACAGGGATAAATTCTGTAGTTTTGAACAAAGGGGGGAAAATCAGAGCACTAAGGTGGTTAAGTAACTGTGTGACTAGCAGGAAAGATATAAAAGTTTGTTCCATACAGTCCAAGAGCAAATAAGGGAAGCAAATCATGCCAAAGGAGGAGGAATTATGTGAGCTCTATATTTCTAAGGAGGTATATGAGACTATAACCCTTACAGAATAAGGAATTTGTCTTGTTCTGCTCGATCCTTAAAGGTTCTTAAGAATACCAGCTAGTAAAGGCTTGTAAAGACACGAATGGCACTGGGGAATTGACAGACTGCAAATTTAACCTTACAGTGCACTGGTAGCACTGTATACTCAAACATCATGTATGTTACAGAATTCCTTCTATTTATCTGAAGCTGAACAAAATAGCCCAATATGCTTACTTATTATGACTTCTACTACATCTACATTGATGCCACGTAAAGGTCATTTATAGAGAGATACCTCTTTTTCCCGGTCCCTAAACACTTTATTGCGCTGAACTTCTAAAAACTTTCAATCTCCAGAAATATTCCCTCCCTCCCCTCCCTTTCCCTTCCTCTTAAGGATTATTTATTTCAGCAGAATTCATGTTAAAAAGTATTTTAGAAAATAGGCTTATATGCTACTTTGGGCAATTCCTAGAGTCATATTCCTATTTTGGGCTCCCTTTGAGAGACAAAAGGAAGTGTCCACTTTTGGGCTCCTCAGCTAAGAAAGTCATTGACACTGGTGAGAGTCTAGTGGAGGGCCACCATGGTGATCAGAGAGAGAGAGCACTTGATATACAAGCAAAATACAGATTTATTCAGTTGTGTGAAGACATAGCTAAGGGAGCATCTTATTTTTATCTTCAACTATCAAATTGAGTATTATAGAGAAAGCAGGACCAGACTCTTCTCAGAGCTGCATAGCTAAGAGATGAGACACAATGGACACAAAGTGCAACATGAGAAAGGCTGATTAGATATAAGGAAAAACTCTTTCACTGTGAGGTTTCAAAGGTGCCAAGAAAAGCTGAGGGGTCCCTGTCCTTGGAGACAATGAAAATGCAACTGGATAAGGTCCTGTACAACTGGATCCAACTTTGCCGTTGGATCCTCAGAGGTCCTCTCCAACCTGAATTATCCTGTGATTTCATGTTAATATTCCATATTATGTTCACAAAGTATTACTTTACCTATCAAGGCTGGCTGGAATAGTTGGGGCATAATCCCAAGTAACTTCTTCTGCAGCAATGAAATATTCCCAGTTTTTGACCATAAGACGTTCTTTATAGGAGAGCTGACTCCTCTTCACCTCTTTGTCCCCACAATCTCTTACAGTGAGGTAACCATGCATTCCAGCTAATTGAGAAGAAACAGTACCACAGTGATTTCCCATTTGATGAGCTCTTACCACTCCAACTGTGTTTCTCATTCCTTTAGCTTAAGCCTGCCTGTAAGCCTTTGTTCATCCGACTGCCATCTTTTTGGGCCTGAAAGCTACATTTTCCTGTTTTCCCCCCTACCCCAAACATATCTTCAGCTCTTATAAGACAGACATTTCTCTCATATTTTAAAACACTATTGCTGAAAGATACCACTTTCAGATGATAACAGCAAATATTTTCATCAGATTGAGTTGCCCTTAGCTGAAATTACTCAGTTTCTCAGGAAACAGGTGGTTCCTTACTCATTTTATAATGGTGCTTATCTGAACAGCTCACAGAGACTTAGCTGCTGGAGTATTGATTCACTGTTGCTCTGTGACCTGCATTTTTAATTTCAACAAAATGCCCTGTTCTCCAGCGCTTTCTTAGTGAAATTACAAAACTCCCCGAAACAGATTAACTGTACTGTTGCAAAACAGTAGAAGCTATTTAGGACATGAACAAGAGAAGGACAACTCTACAGGTGCCTAATAAATAGATGTTCCCTTGCCTTGCAGGTGCTTTTGGACAAGAGAAGATATGAGCCACCTTCCTTCCTCAGTCACTGTCATGTTTACTGTGGTTGATGCTCCTCCCACCAGGTTAATGGTAGAAACTCGGTGATGTCTTTGCTCCATGGACTGGCCATTGATATGAATGGAGAAAATTTCTGGCTTGGAACTCATTCCTATCAAGTGCCAGCTAATGTTGTCATAAGCACAAGCCTCTAAATCTGAAAGAGACACAAGAATAGCGTTCAGAATACAGGAAAATCATTCAAGCCCCCTATGCACACTAAGTTTGAAGTGAATCTTCACTCAAAACACTAAAAAAAAAAAAAGAAATCTGACTCCTGGGATCATTGTTTGCAACAAGATGAAGTTTCAGAAGGTTGTAAATGGAACAGATACCAAAATGTTGTATGTTAGTGAAAGATAGGTGTTTACATCTTATCTGGAAGTGACCACCTAACTTAGAGTGAGGTGGCACAAAAGGAGTGCCCTCTTTTGGAAAGCTGATCTGTCCTTGTTTGGGGGGTGAGAGGAGGAGCAGGGCAGGGAAAGAGATGAACAAAGCAAGGATCCAAGCTAAAGAATGACATGGTATCTAGTGACAGTAACTACCCTAACCAATGTTTGCTTAAAAAAACCACTTAAGACACCCTTTTGTATTTGCTCAATGGATGGGAGAGAGATATGAAAGTAGTTCCTTAAGAGAACAAGGGAAAAACACTAACAATAAAATAGCCCCATTACCACCTTCCTAGTCTTCTCACTTACTGGTAATTGACTTTCTACTTCCAGGAAGTTCTTCACCTAGTATGTTCTATATGCTGTAAAACAAACCACTTAACCACATTACTCTCCCCCCCATCAGCTGAGTAAAAAATTGAGGGAATTTAATTTCTTTTTAGAGTTAATAATCCTGTTCTTCAAGCAGAATACTTCTAAGAAGTAATCTTATTGTTCCTATCAGCAATTTGTCATGACTTCCTTCCAGCAACACAGCTTTTATTCTAGAATTTAGATGCTCACAGACACATTCTAAAAAAAGGCTACAGCCTTTTTCTACCATTTCTCCACATTCCTATTTACATGCATGAAAAGTAAATAAAGGTAATATTCAATGTTTATCAATGTTAATTTCATTTCACACAAGCCTGAACAGTACCTGGTAAAGTTCCATCAGTATAGCCATTAATTGTGTACTTGACTGATGCTGATCCTTGCCAACTCTTGTTTTCATCAAACACACCAAACATCAGTACATACTCCCTGTCAAAAAGTTTCTGTGACCCATCCTCATTTAGGCTTCCTATGAAGGAGAAACAACAGGTTTCATTTTGAAGCAGAAGTAAAGCAGTTTTCACATCCATGCAGTTGCATTCATGTATATTTAATAGCTTGTTCCCCTGTTACCATGTAATGGCACAGCCTGACCAAAATAAGACCTTGAGAGCACTCATAACATGATTTTATTTCTGAAAGTACTTTTGGGTTGGGTAACCACAAAATCAAAAGTCTGTAATATCCCAGAAGAGATAAACACCATGTAATGAATTGTGTCAGACAATTCTGGCAATGTGTAGTAGGGATTGCCTTAATGAATGGGAGTGCCAAACACCTTCTGTTCAGAATCAGGTGCTGCCCTCCCTTTTGAAACTGTGAGGCACAGAGAAGAACGATGGCAGAGTCACCAGCAGTGGAACAGTACCTTTTCAAGAACTACACTGAGGTAATCGGCACCTTTAAAAAGCTTTAAACTCAGCAAACAACATTTACATACAAAAGACTTCAACAGATACTGCTGAAATGGATCAGGTACAATAAATTGTCCAGTTGATTTTGTGATCAGGTACAAATTCTATCAAGAAGCAGAATTCATTCTGGACATGTCACACAGAACTGGTGTTATTTTACTGATCTTTATGTGGATTGCTCACATCAAAAACTTCCATTTGCTACTTTCAGTACATAATCTGGTCCCTCTGGACTGCAGGGACTAAAAATTTGGAAACTTGTTGATAATTCTATTTAGGAAAAGAGGCAGTGGAAGCAATTATCTTTAATACAATCCCTTTTATTTATGAGAGGCTACAAAGTCCTGTTTTCTTTCACAAAAGAAGGCTCAGATCAACAGAGGAATTTATTTACTTGTCATGCAAAGAACATTCAGGCAGCGCTTTAACTCAAAAGTCCACTTCTTACAACCTTCACCACCTATGCTGCTCTTAATGTGTCCGGATGTGATGAGTTGACTGCAACGAGCAGCCAAACACACACACAGCCACTTCAATGCCTTCCCATCCTCAGTAGGACAGGAGAGAAAACAGGAAGAATAAAAATTAGTAAACTCATGGGTCAATAAAGATAGTTCAAAGGTGAAGGAAAGATGGACAAAAAACAAGCAACACAGAAGAAATCACTCATTATCTCCCACAAGCTGACCGGCGCCCAGCCAGTCTCTCAGGAACAGCCACCCTGGAAGTCAACAAGTCAACACGCCCCCATTCTCCCCACATTGCTGCTTCTTCCTCCACCTCCATTTTTTATTGGATAATGATGCTGTATGGTAGAAAATATCCTTTTGGCCTATTTGGTTCACCTGTCCAGACGGGTCCCCTCTCAACCTCTTGTCCACCCCCAGCCAACTAACTGGGGAGGTCTGAGCAGGAAAAAGAGAAAGCCTTGACACTGCGCAAGCTCTGCTCAGCAATAGCTCTAGCATGGGTGGGTATATTATCAATGCTATTTAGCCACAAATCCAAAACACAGCACCATATTTGCTGCTGTGAAGAAAATTACCTCCATACCAGGCAGAACAAACACACAGATATATTGCACACCTGCCATATACAGAGCCCAGTTAAAGCAACTGTGTTCAGAAATCTTAAAAATGTGCATAGTGAGCTGTTTGTCTTTGCTCTAGCTAGAAAAATATGGTCAAATTTGCTTTAAGGTACTGGTCACCCAAACATATTCAAATTCATATCCAGCAGAAGCCCGCAATATATGCATGAATTCGAGAAGCCTGAAAAGGAAATAATTTCAAAGTAATTGTCCAGATTAGCTCCACCAGAATACCATGAAATGCATATAATCACAGAAACACAGAGAAAGAAATGAAACCCTAAGAAATTAGGAAAATAACAAGTCCTAGATAATACTAAAAGCACCAATTCTCAAAAAAACCCCAAACAACCAAACCAGAAGGAAGATAATTAATCGTAATGCCACTCCTTTAAGGTGATATAATGGGTATCTATCAGTCAAGAGAGTGTTCTTGTGTAACCCCACACCAAACTAACTTTATGTTTACTTTCAGGAAAACTTTGAGGTCCAAGTCCATGCAGTCTGCAGCCTACAGTCTATACAAAATTTTTGACTCAAACTGCAGGAAGAGGATCAAGCCAAATAACTCACAGTGCTTTCACTATAACAAGGATATACAACTTGGAAAAACTTATAATTTAAGGGACCAACAAGAAGTTTAAGTAGCTTACAGGATAGCGTACTGTTTCAAATGTCCCTCAAACCAGTGGTATGTATCTAGCAGCTATTTACAAATCCTACAAGATACCAGATTAGTGGAGATGGAATTCAATGGTTCAGACTGCTAAAATCTAAAGTCTCTGATTGCATGCAAAAACAATTTTAAGACTTATAATCTGTTCAAATTTGTCCATATTTTCAAATGACTAGCAAAAGACATATTGCTCTGCAATTTTAAGCTCTTACAGAAGAGAGAATGCTCCAGGCTCTTGATCAGATAGCCTTTAAAAGACATGGGTAAAACTATTATTTCTTGCCTTATTCTCTGAAGTGGCTGAATCATTTTGAATGAAGTTTTAAAAAGTATATATTCTAAGACAGGCAATTTGAGGTCACATATTTAGCAGTTAAGCAACTGAAAATGCAATCAATACAGGTAAATGTATCTATTTAATAATGCTCTGTGCACATCCTATAATTATAGGATGCATGAAAGCTGGCATTTAAAAATTTTAATATCTAAAAGAATGATGTTAAAACCCATTTATTTTACACTGAATGTAAAAATGTGAAAAAGAAAATAATGTATCTTCCCTCAATATCATACAGCCTTAACTTTGTTAAGAAATGAAACTATATTACCTCATGGTAGTCTTAAAGCATTTCATTACCTTTCTTACAGATAAGCAGTGCTCCAATCAAACCAGAGTTAAAATCCATTGCCATGTTCACATGAGAATAATAAGCATAAGTAAGACAAGGAAGGTCAGCTTCTCTTGGACCAACTTCTTCTGATATATCCCACACATATGTATAGACCTGGCCTGGAAGTACGGCATCATCTCGTTTTTCTGCAGATGATGTTCTGTCATCATACAGGGAGCCTGCCAAGAGAAGAGTCAGTAGGGTGGCATGAAGACAAAGAGCAATTAAAACAGCTGGAATATCCTCCTACAATCAGTTCCAAAAGCTTTGTGTCTTGCCTATATGATACTTCAGCTTCAAACAGAGAACTCATGATTCCACTCACACTGGGGAGAGTAGCATGGGGAGAGTAGCTATCCCACCATCCTGACGGATAAAAGATTTCCTAGAACTGTCACCACTGTCAAAAGGTTGGGCTCTTCATTAGTCTGACTAGGCTTAGGATGGCATGAAGCTTCAGCCTCTGCCCACTGATGCTCTGCAGAGGAATGCTGCTCACTTTGTCACCTTCCTAACTGTAATAAAGTCACTGTGTGGGCTGGCATTGCCTTGCTGCCTTAGGCCTTTTGTACACTGCATTTCCAGATAATGAGCAGTAATGGCTCATATCTGTTCCTGCCATATCCAACAGATTTGCAATATGACAAAGGGGAGACAGAGAATCAAAATCCTAGGTGCAAGAGGCACATTAATAAGTCAAACTGAACCACCTATCACTTCCCATGAGATGTTCAACTCTATGAGATGGGGTTGCAAAACTCTTTTTGTACCCACACAGCAAACAAAGCCTTGAATAAATTTGTAAACTGCAGGTCAGAGCTCTGCCTCAGTACCCAGGGCAGGGCAGTCCAAGAAGCACGAGCAATCAAACTCACTTTGTGCTGGTGCAGACATTTTACTGTTAATTTAGTCATAGTTTATGATCTCTTTTTGCTCGTCTCATGAGGGTTCCAGGAGCAAAACACCACAAAGCTGAGCATTAAGTGCTGAGTATCACAGCAGCATGATCAGCATTGTTAAATGCCTTTACCAATAATGCCTTGACGTATGCTATTGAAAGGGATTTGGAAAAGGTTTTTACACCTGTATTTAAGAGTTTACATGTCCCAAAATAAAATATTTTGCAATTACATGGGGGTGCACCAGATGACCTCCAGAAGTACCTTCCAACCTTAACCACTCTGCGATTCTGTGGAACAGTGTCAGCACACAGGCAGCTGGTCAGGAGACTGCACATGTCAGGTGACACTAATATTCCTAGACACTAATATTCCTGGACAGTGTATTATTAGATTCTAATAATACACTGATGAACAAGAAAGGAGCTAACAATGGATGTGACGTTTCAATCCAGGATCAACACATATTTGTGCTAACATCCGTCTGGACCTCTCTCAATATTTCATGCAGTACTTTACAAGTAAATGAACAAAACACAGAGTTTTTACAGCATTTACCTTCTTCATGTTTGCTGTAAACTAGGCCTTGGGGATGAATACTGACTGGCTTGTCAGCCATATTTTTAAGGTGAACTACTAGAGTATCTCCCACTTCAGCACGCAGAGTTGGTCCCAGAAGTCCTGTAGTTATTTAAGATAGAGGAAAATATGAGCAAAGCAGTATGGTTAGTGTAACAAAGAATTCTCTCCCCCATTAAGAAATATCAGCTCTCAAAGTATAAGTTGCAAAATTGATACAAAGAATGTAATATCACTGCAATGAAGATTTACCTGTAAAAAGGCATATGGGGATTTAAATCCTGCAGCTCTTAGCCAAGAATGTTATAAATTGTATATCTTGTAACTTGCAGTTAAAAATCACAGGAAATAATAGATTGGGGGGAGGAGGGAAGTTATTTCCAGATACAAAAAAATTATCAAAAGATTCATGTTGAGGTTCATTAGAAATTTATAGCTATTCTTCATATACAATTTAATTAAACAGTTTTAGGAAGACAGACATTTTACAGTTTAAGACTTTAGAGAAAGGCATTCAAGCACATTTCTCTGAGTAGCACTCTCAATGCCAGAAGTCACAGAACAAAAAGATCTTTCCATCCCAAAATGTTATCCAAATAAATAATCAGATCCATGTTGCAAATTTCTTGAGGCATTTCCTGCAAAAGGTTTCAAGAGAAGCTTTTATCCCTACTCCCCATGTTGCAAAAATAAGCAATGGATGAAACTGCTATGACAACTTTTGGCTTATTAGGCTCTTTTCTTTTAAACTATTTTGTAAATTAGAAAGAAGCAGATTTGGAAAACACAGGAGAACAAACAAAACTGAAAGGAATCAGATCATAGACTAGGTCTTTCAGGACAATTTGTCGTAATTTCATATCAGCAACCTCACACACATTTACTTTGAAATCTAAATCTGAACATACAACATCTGAAATTATTTTATCTATTAACATGAAACCCAGACAGACTACATAAGCATTCTGCCTAAGTACCAGAGCACAAGTACCACACTTATGTATGGCATGAGTATGAGAACTTGCTTCCATCCACTTAAAGCATCTGCAAGCAGTAACAGACACAAAGGCAAGGGGACATCTTTCACACTCATCCTTAGAGTTTTTCCTTTTCACTGATCTATCAGAAACATACTTAGCCTCAGGCCTTGGGCTCCTTCCACGTGAATTTGCAGTGACACCATTGTGACAGTGCCATACAAATCTAAATGCATATGGGAAGTCTCATCAGATGCTGAAAACAAAGGGAGCAACTTTGTACACTGCAATTAATTTGCAGACAGTCACAGCCTCTGAGAGTCCAGCCTCTCTATGGCCTTTGAAAGCCTCGTGCACTGTGGAGACCTCATCCTCTGTGCTTATTTGGTTTATGTGCAAACAATGGACACAGAAATACAACCTTGCTTAGCTTGTCACTGGATTTAAAACAAGCAACAAACAAAAATACTCAGAACATTTCCTTCCTGTTTACCTGCAAATGTATTTGCTGGCTTTTCTTTTTTAAAATCCCCTTCATATTCTCTGTAAGAAATTTTCTTAAACACAGGATGTGGGTGTTCCAACCTGAAACCAAAAGAGTTACAAAAAAAAACTTTGAAAGGACAAAGATTCTAAGAGATGCCATTGCTGCTTAATGGATATTCTCAGAAAATGAAGCCTGGAATTACATTTAATCACTTGCACATTTTGCTGAAGGCAAATCACACAGTCTAACTCTTTGTAGTGTCTTCTTCCTTCTTACTCTATTGAAACTATGGTGTTCCTGAGCTAGATCATTTCATATGGGACATTCAATTACAGTACCTAGCACAGTTCACCCCTGATTTTGCTGGTGGTTTCTGTAGGTCTTCTTGATTCTGGGATGAAGATGTCTTTGTTTTGTCCAAGACACAGATGAAGATGTCTCGACCATGCTTAAACTAGAAAGCATCTGACAAAACACAGTGAAAGAAACCTGACTTTCTTTTTACTCAGCCCCATGCTTGAACTTCAAGACTCACCAGAAGGATTCTACAACAGCATTAATAGCAAGCTCCTGTCACAGCAATGACCTTGGAGGCAAACACAAAATTCTTCTCTGACAACAATTAAGGATCTCACAGCAAGTTAGAAAATGAGAAACACTGCAAGTGCCCTTAGTCTTCTTACATAAATAATTTGGCACCCAGTAGACCACACAATGTTTTCTTAGAAAATATTTAAGCAAACAGAAGGAAACCAGCACACCATACTTTTGTAATGGAAATAATTATGAGAAGAGGGCTGGAGGCATAATAGCCTTTCACATTTATTGGTTGATTTATTTTAGTATGTATGATGACTGAATCCAACAGTAATTCCACTTGCTTTCTTTGCAATGCCATTTCAGCCACATTTGACAGTAGGGAGCTGATGGTCTGCTCAAGCATGGCGAGGCTGAGCAGAGATATCACAGGGAGTTCACTTCAGTGACATCCAGGGTCCATAAGGGGGAGATCTCTTTTTGAGAGATCTTCTGTAAATTCCTCTGTGACACTCACTCGCAATAGCAGGATCAGGCAGAAGCAGGTCGTGTTTCAATCCATTCCCCACTTGTTAGTCACTGATAAAACTTTGTTTAACTGTTTAAAGAGAAGGACCTGATCCATAACCTACATTGACAAGTGCTGCCCTAACGTGGCAATGTTCAATAGGATATGCATGTAAGACCAAGGGGTGAAAGAGGAAATTTATCAGTGCTAATTGTACAGCTAGAAGGAACAAAATACAGAGCTCACTAACACTTCAGAAATCTCAGACTGCAGGCATAGTTACATAACTTTTAGGAACTGCAGCAGCAACACTGTACGCACAGAATAATACATTTTCACTTTGCTCTTAAGTGCCTTATAAATATCACTTGTACATAGTAACAAACCTCTATGAAGGTAAGACCAACACTCAGAGAAGTTAGGTATCCTTTTCTAGTCTGTATGATCAGAAAATTAAGAAAATAGTTCAGGAAGAATCCATTTTCTTTTCAGCCTCTCTTCAGTTATTTAGAACTAAAAGCAGCAAAGTATCAGATTCTTACCACTGTATTTAGACATTCAGTTTGTACTGAAACTAGCACAAGTTACAAATCCCAATGCCTTTGGAATCCAAGCCATTAGCTTTTTCTCAGTGAGTATCTTTGTATTGGGTTTTTTGGGGGGACGTTGCTGGGGGTTTTTTTGCTTGTTTGTTTGCTTTGTTTTTAAGTTAAATTTCTATAAGCTCTACAAAATTCATTGGTCATTTGGGATGGGACTTGCTCTAAATATTTATGACAGATAACTCAATAGGCTTTGTGTATGAAATATTCCTGAGTTATCCCAGAGTACTTCAACTGAGGTTTGAGACAGTCTTGTGAGTCTGTGCTGCATGAAACAGTCTATCCACAACATGACATTTAACGAAACAGAAGTTGATGCTTATATTGATGCACCCAGTGCAGAAGGGAATGAAGTTCTAACTAGTAAGTTCACATGCCCAGGTCAATACTTAAAAGATATTTGGCTTCATGTTCCTACATTTAAATCCCATTTTCTTCTGTCTTGCCAGTTTGACATTATGCTTATACCAGCTGTATTTAATTTCCAAGTGGGGTTTTAGAAATCACAGAAACTTTGTTTGAATTAAGTCTTGAGAAAAAGAGCAGTTATAAAGTCACAGTCTGAACTGGAAATATCTTTTCCATATTATCCCAAAACACAATACATGTTTAGAAGAAAAAAAAAACCAAACACAAAAAATAAGGAAAACAAGTAATTCACCAATATATATAAAAAAGCAGCAGCATCCAAATATACTTTCAATGTAGGAGAACAAGTAATTTGAAATTAATTTTAATATTTAATTTTTAGTAATTTTTTTGCCTAATTTAAGCAGAATTCTAAATTACATCCACATTCTGTACTCTGTAGCATTGTACTTGCAGTGTTTATAATCCTAAGGATAATAGTGGTAAAACAAATAACACATTTTATATGCTTGATTGGTGTATGCAGGTAGGCTGGCCATTCTGCAATGCCCTCTGAAAAAAATGAAATTAGTAGTTTCACTTAACAAAGAATAGCAATGCTTGATCCTTTACTCGGCAGAACTCAGGATGTACATTTCACAAAACTACTGAACAACTCAGAAACAACATAGCTAGTTCCAAAGTTCATCAGGCTTTGATTTAAGTGAAAGTGACAGTATCCAAACTGGAACATATTTATTCCTTCAGCAAATTCTAAAACATGAAAATTTTTGAAATTTTACAAACCATGGCTCAACTTAACATTGCTCAAAATCCATATACCTAAAATAAATACCTTAGAAAACCATGAGCAACAAGCATTGACCTACACAGAAGATGACAAAAGCAAGACCTGGAACATATTTAACAAAAGCACTCTGAAAATATAAAAATAATTCTATCCACTAATGAAGCAAATAAAAAGGAGCTTTTAATACTTCACTGGCTCTAGTTCAGATCATGCTGTTTAAAGTAAACCAAGCTCCTCTGAATTCAACAGGCTCTAAAGTCCTCCTGGGCTCTACAATTCCACAGGAGACGGGAGACACAAACCACTTTTCAGTCACAAGGGAGGACTACTTTTATCCTTCTTATCCTGTACTTTGTTACCTGGATTTTTCCTCAGATTCCAGTTTGTAGGTCCAGCTAGTGATCTGAGCAGCTATATAGTGCTCCCTGACCTTCACAGCTCCCACCACACGTTTCTCTGAGTCTGGCCACCACGAACCCAGCACAAGCAAGAGAAGCAGACCCATGCAGTGCAGTGTCATGGTACAGATGCCTGTTGATGCTGCTCTGGAGGACAAGGCAGAAACTGCTGCTTTTATTGCTGTTGCTGCTTCTAACTTCCCCTCAGAAATGAAATAATTATGATGCAAGAGGGTAACAGCATTTGCTACGCTCAGGTCATTGCTCTTCACCTCCTCCTCCCCTTACTGACAGGGATCCAAAAGAGATAAAAAACTGTTTGAACTACCTTCCTTCCCCTCCTCCACATCACCTTCAGCAAGGGACAAGCACCAAGGAGTAGCAGCCAAAGCCCCACTACAGACTGTGGTTGGGTCACTGTGTACTGAAGCAGCAGGATATCAGAGGCAGAAGACAATTATTTGGATTACTTCAATTACAGGATGTTTGACTTGCATGGTTAGGAAGAAGGGGGGGGGCATACTTTCTGTCTTCCCAGAAAACAGAAACCCACTGATGGAAATTTCCCAGGTAGATGCTACGCTTCCTAAGAAATAATTCCCAGTTTAAAAGCAAAATGCTGAGGCATTAGGTGTGGGAACTAGAAGTGAGTGCAGAGCTAAATCTAGTTCACGTCACCATGTACTGCATAGTAGCAAGCCAGTAACCTTTCCAAACGTGTTGTCAGCTTCAGTCTGGTTCCCACTACACTCCCAAATACCTCAGGTAATGGGTAACGAATGGGCTTCTCAGAGGCAGCTAACAGGTCAGCCTGGAGACTTTTCATCTAGTCTTGACTACGGTCTGTTGACATTTATCTAATGAGAAATCATTAGGAAAATACCTTTCGATAAGTTCATCACTGATGTCACAAAAAATGTTTCCCTGCTTTTGCCAGTGCTGAGAAGTTTGTCAAAACAAGAAAATTGTTGATCGTGTTTCCTGCATGCTCAATTACTCAAAAAAATAAAAATCCCTATCTATTTTTTTCATGGACAAAAGATGAAAACAACTTTTTCAATAATGTTTTGCTAATGTTGTCATGAAAAAATTACCTAAACCCTCAAATAAAAATAATTCTACTCCAGAACTAGACAAAAAGGACAACATTTTCTCAGAGTACTTCTAAAGAAAACCTGACCAATTCTTGATATATTGTTTAAAAGCAGAATGGCCTAACTAGCAGCTTGGTTAATTCTACCCAAACTGTATGATACCATATGGCCTTAGAAGAAATAGGGAAGATGGTTGGGAAAAAAAAAAATGATGAAGACAAATAGCTAAATGCTCCCTACCAAACTTCAGGGTCATTTCATACTTAAACCTGAAAGCAATTATGATCACTTAGACAGCATAAGACTACAGACATGGTGGTATATTTTTCACTTTAAGCAAGTCTTCCTGTGATTCTGTTTAATGAACTGTTTGCATTTGAAATTTCCACTATAAGTAGATTTCTAATAATTCTTCCCTGTAATAAAAAGCTAAAATATTGCAGGCTAGAAATTAATACCCAGAATACCTGTTTAATCCCCCTTGCTTTGTGTCTGTGAGCTGGGCATCATTAAAGCTGACATCAATTTGTTATTTCTCTTTCATCAATTTTTATGAATTTGGGAGTTGTATTTTTAAATTTCTTAGTCCATGAAAAATGCAGTACCAATCTAAAGGTAAAAGTAATTACTTTTCTACGGGTGACTGATAATACTGACAGTTTTAAAGAACAGTATAACATTAGGTTAGATATACTTTCCATTAAGCTACATTGATTACCATGTATTACCCTTTTTTAACGCTTTAAGAACAAGCAGTCCAACAATGGCTACTTCCTCATTTTCTCCTCTTCCCATGCTCCTAGTATCAATATGAAATTGAGTTGATTGAAATCATCTGGTTCAGTCTTGTTTTTTTTTTCTTTTATTTAAGCTACTATATCACATTGTCTCTAGGCTTTAGGAAGTTTCACAGTGTTCTGAAAATCATTATTAATAATCCAAAGACTTTGTTCCCTTCCACCGGACCACTAATTTCTAATATCTGCAATTATATCCTCTTGTCTGATGTGGTAAAAGTCTAATACATACATATAATTTTTTTAGTTAGCATTGGTTACCTGCAAGCTGATACTATTAGTCACAGGACAAGTGACTACAGAAGATGTTAGTCAGGCTGAAGTCTTCCAAGATAATGCAATTTTATTGGCTACTCATATATTTAGCTGTTATCTTTTTTTCTACTTCACGACATTGCACATGTTGCAAACTTCATATTTTATCCTCACTGCCTACCCACATGTTCAAATGTAAATTACATTTCACCAGCAACATCAAAAGATCATGTCATCAAAAGCCATGCACAGAGGAGTGTGGGTCTAGTCCAGGTTGGCAAGACAATCTCTGCAGCACAATGAGCAATGCTGTTCCCAAAACAAAGCAGTACCTTTGGGATGTACAGAAATGCCAAATGAAAACAAAGCATGGAAAGAGAAGCATAAGCAATACCTTTTAACACTAAAAGTGGGTCTGCATCTTCTAACTGGGTGAGATTACTGTCTGTTCTGACACCTAGTAATTATAAACTTGATTCTTGTTATGCTATATGTGAAAACATACTAGAAGAGGATGCTCCCAGTCCTGCTCTAAAGCTGACCTGTAAAATTAACTGGCATTTCCAGTTTTGCACCCAGAACAGCCTAGGCTGAGCCCGAGAAATTAAGAATAGATCTTTCCAAAGAGTGGAAGAGTAGTGATATACAACTTTCTGCAAATTATACATTATGACCCACGACAAACTTGGATCTACTTCATCACAAACACTGTCCTAAGTGCCAGCGGGCACTCATATCCTGATGGCTGCCATCAGTTTTCACAATTGTATTACAGTGATGAAGAGGGAGATAGAGATCATATAGAGAGGGAAGAAAAGGTTGTAAAACAACTCTGGAATTGGTTGCTAATAATGCCCCAGCAGAGATCTATCTCTGTATCTCTCATCCAAATACACGAATCAATGCATAGTGGTCCAGCGAGCGCACTTTGTTTAGTGCAGAGTGGACGGATTTCATGGGCAAACAAGGAGTTAATTATTGATCAGCAGTGAACACGTGCTTCTGAAGTAGGTAAAAGACAGAAGGGGCACTTACCAAATCTTCCAGGCAGAACTGGGAGCAGAAACCATCTTCACTTCTGCAAGTAGGCCCTAAAGCCAAGAAAGGTTAATCTGTGAAATAGCTCATTTTAGAAGTTTAAAGTAGGTGTGCCACACCAAAAACCACATCAGCAGGCAAAAAGAAAAGATGGCAGAGAAACTTTGGCTTTCTTTCAGATAGCAATTTATACAAAAGGAAGATGTGTATGTTTTGGTGACAGCCCTCACAAGAACACATTCTGTTAAGGGAAGGCAGGCTGTGTGACTTTTGTGTTCATAAACACACTAAAAGGTAGTAAGAACTCAGAAGGGTGTTTCATATTTCCCTGGCACTACAGGGTTCAAGAAGACAGATAATCATGTTGATTTAAACCTAAATACATTCACAAGTTTTAAACCTGTATTTTTTTCCTAGGAGAAAAGCACGTGTCCTTTGTTAGAACTGAGTGTTTCTTCAGTCAATGTTTGCCAAAACCAATTAGTTAGCAGGACTCAAAACTATTTGCATAGAAATGCTGAATTCAATGCAGTTTCAGAGAAAAAGAAATATGTTTATTTTCTAAGTACTATAAAACATAATTTCAGTGCTTTAACAAATTTGTCTAAGACCATTAACTCATGGTCTGAAAAAAAAAATCCTTTTAATGGACAAAAAGAGAAGAGGATACACTAGCTTCCTGTCTTCAAAAACTGCATTAATGATGTGTTGTTCAAAATTTTGGACTGACTCAAACAAAATATTTTTTTTTCCCTCTGTGTGTTTAATTTTCATCAGAAAATTTCCAGTTTGGCTCGAGAAAGAATTTTGCTCCTACTCAATGTTTGTGTTCTCTCTGTTCCAGTTTGTCTTCTTTACTAAGAGATTTCTGTATTTGCCCAGGCTTACAACTGATATGCAACATGGGAGCAGCTGCCTTCATGCTAAGTCAGTCTAGCAGCATATTCAACTTGGATTTCTTTCTGTAGAGAATAACAACAGTAAGGGTATCAGTGCAACAGTTTGCAACTAGGAAGATTTGCATCTTTTTATCATAAAACCTTGCTGCAAATGAAACTGGGTTATCAAAAACAAAAAGAGAGCCTCTTATCAAGTTGTATACATACCTACTTCCAACAATAGGTACGATATTCTGGACTAATTAAATTTTTCTTCTTTCATATAGTTGAATTTTCCACATCCAGGTTTGGGTTGGTTTTGGTTTTTTTTCTCAAATAGTATACTTTGAACACTTCTAAGAAGTTAGTAGCAGAGAAAGTTATAGCAGATAGGTGTGTTTCTTTCTGAAACATGAAATCAGTAAGCTTTTAGCATAAGACAGTAAATTGTATCTGTCCCTACAGACTTCACCACACAGACAAATTCAGGGCAGTCTAGTTCTCCAGCAGTGGCTTAGGCTGTTTGATAAACAAGCTGGTTAAACAAGCTCCATTTTCCCATATGTAAAAATGCAGCCACAGAAGGACAAAGTTGAATTACCCTGTTTGTTTAAACAGTATTTCCACCCTCCATTATTTATAGTTTAGACTTCGATTAGACTTTTAGAAGACTAAATACAGGGCTGAACTTCCCACATATTGCTTGGAATTTAATGCTTTGGTTTTTTTTCTCTTCTACACTTGTTTTTTATCATGAGCAAGTATTTTTTGGTATTTTAAAAGCATTTCATGTAAATTGAGGACTAGGTATCTGAAGTTTGACCATAGAGCTTGTGATGTTTATTATTTTACACTTCTGTGAGGTTATCCCCTTTGCACCACAACCCATTCCTTGTGCATAACTTTCAGATTCAGTACAATCAAAATTTCACCCACATCTTTGCTGCACGCAGCACCTGTAAAGGGGAATGTACTCCAAGTTCAAGATCAAGAGATAGAGATCTAGAAGGCAAATAGAACCACAAGAGCTGTAAGATGTGCAGCAGGAAAGTGGACTGCAGCACAGCAGAACTTCTCAAAAGCTATTCTGATGCAGAGACAAAATTCAGACCATTAATGACCATGTAGGATTTGACAGAAGCTATAACTGAGGTTTACTAGGTTTGCATATGTTTATAGCAGTTCCTACAGCAGCAATATTCAGTTCTATCAGGAATTTTAAGTATTAGTCCCAAAAGAAGAGGAGGACTAAGGTACAGTACAATTGCTGCAAGTGTACCCAGGTCAAATTTGCTTGCTCAGGTACAGCTGCTTTGATATGCAGCCAAGCAGAGCACCACATATGAGTCACCAAGCTTTGGGTTTTGTAACAACAGACATTTCTGTGCTAAGAATGCTGTCAGGCATTAAATATCATGGTGCTGATGGAAGACACTGGCTAGTTCTCTTTAGTTCTGCTGCGCCTCTGTTGTTCTGCTTGGGTCAGAGAAAAAGGCCTTCATTGGTTTATACTTTTTCTTAAAAGAAAAATAAAAAAGTCACACCACTTACTTCCATCAACAGCCCAACAAGGAAGAATGTGATATTTGACAACTTATTGGAGATTGATGAAACTAATTCACCTTCCTAAAGCCGAATAGACACCTTTTAGGAGAAGGATGTTTCAAAAGATTCTGATGCAGCAGAGGAAAAAAATATACATCATCATTATTAGTTATTTTAAGTCCTACTCCCTCTCTTTGCTCCCCTCCAAACTCCCCTCTTTATTGGGTGGAGGACAGCTACTTCCTTTGTTACCAGAAAGCCCAAAACATCTTTGACATTAGTCTCATAGGAAAAATCCTATGGCATGACTCAGTGGGTGTGGTTAAGTTTTAACAGGTTTCAGCTCACTTACATAGACATTGCCTAAGATATAGTCCAAAAAAGAGGAAGTGAAGATAGATATCAAAAGAGGAAAGCCAGTTTAAGCATAGAATGCAGAACTGATTACAGGCTCTCATGTAAGTAAGAGCATGGTACAGAGGACAGCCAAAACAGGGACCAGTTGTGCCAGGACAGGGACCAAACTTCTTACTCAACAGCAAATTCAGTCCACTGCAGACACCTAACTTCTGATCACCTTGCAGAACGCAAGGTGGATGTTTGGGAGACAAAGATGCTGTCCTAAAAGCCAGTTTAAGTGAACCTAATGAGTATAAATATATACACGTATGTATAGTGAGAAATGATGGTCCTATCCTCTCATTTTCATTAATAAAAACCTTAACATTTTACAGTGCAGAAAGTGGCTGCTGAAGCCTGGACGCATCTGCAATATCTGAATTCATAAATAACTCAGTTTATGTTTACTCCAAAGAGGAAACCATGCTATTAGACTACCAATTAGTGCCAGTGAGGCACACAAATAATCAAGATTGAACCTTGCTCTGCCACTGCAACCCTCTCCCTTTACCCTCAAGCTGTAATTTCATCAATAAGACTATTCTTGTCTTTATTAGAAGACGAACAGACTACATACCAATATTCCTGCTTTGTCTCCCAAAACATTCCATCTCAAAACACTAGTCTTGCTCAAGTGTAAATCTAAACCAACTTTCAAAGATTGGTTAGTTACAGTTATTTTAGTTTAAGATGTAGTCAAACTTTCCTAACAAGACAATCACTCATTTTGTTCAGTTATCAAAATCCTCCTCCACATAGAGGAAACATACCACTCATAGGCAGGGAATAAACCCACATAACTCTAAGTGAATTTAAATAGGAGAGGAAAAAAAAAAGAAAATTCACATTTTCAGGAATCAGCAATGAAGCTAAAAGTATTAGGCTTCTACTATAAAAGTAGATTTCAGTTTCCAACATACACAAAAATAGTCTTCTGATGAAAGGAAATTGAAGGAATCATGGAGAAAAAAAATCCCACTTCTTAGTGCAGCGTCTGTATCGGAATGAACGTGATTTATTTATATTACACACAAAGATTTTTATTAAAAAGGCTGGTAATGGAACATTTTATTTTAATGCATCAAGTTGATAAAAGATTAGTTACAGAAATTGTGTATAATGTTGTGTAAGTCACATGGATGGGTTATTTAAAAAAAGATTTTATAATTAGAGGAGTACATCTCTTATTTTAGTTACATTGTAAAGTGCCTCGTGTAGTCATATTCTATTGTTGGAATGACCGCCTGTACAAATTTCAAGAAAATAAGAAGGTACCTGAGTTTCATATTAAGGAAAATGTACAATAGCTAGAAATCCTGTAAAACAAAGCAGAATTCACATTCAGTGATCAGCTCAACACTATTTCTTGCTTATAGGAAAATAATACCTAGCAATTATGCAGTTAGAGACTGGGAAATTATACAGCAAAATTCTGGCAATGACATCCAGTGCTTGACCAAACATACAGATCTTCCTGTTTTAAGTTAAGAGAGGGAAACAAGAGCGATTTTCAATAAATCTTGCAGACACCACACAAACATTTACAATACTATTTACATACTTAGTACTTGTAAACAATTGCCAAGGTGAATTCCACCCAGCAAGGATAATCCCTAGCTACCCTCCTGTAGTGGTAGGCAAAGCAGGATCCTCCTCAGTGTTTCAGTGGCTCAGAAAAAGAAATTGGTTTTCCTGTTCTGAACCATCCTTTGAAAGAGGTCCTTCCTGTTAATGAGTGCAGAGATTAGCCTTACTATGCTGAGCAGTCTGCCTTTGTAGAGGAGAGTTCCCTTGTATATATCACCTTCAAATGCATGTTGGGCCTGCCTTTGCAGTCTGGAGCATGTTAGATAATTATAATCTAAAGTGTCTCTCCATGAGGGAATGAGGCAGTCAGGGAACTGCAGAATTAAAATAAATCACAACTTTCAATTGACTATTAAGTTGCATTGGTACTGGATATAAGTAAACTCTACTATTTTGATGTATCAGTCTCATGGACCATTTCTTCACAAACACATAACGACGAGAGTAATCGCACATTAAAAATGCCTCAATTTGTTAAGTAATAATAAAAAAAGTAATCAAAACCTTGAAAATAAGCTATTTGTAACTGTTGAGGAGTAGGGGACTTGAACTACCTTGCCAGATAGTTATTTTCCAGTTCAGTTTCAGCTGATTGCTGCACAAATTGAGCAAGTCTCAACTTATACAGTAAATGGGAATTTTACCAATTTGAGACCCATAACTGCTCCGTAATTCCTCCTTTCTTGCCTTACAGCAGCAAAGAACACTATTCTGAAAGGACACACTTGCTTCTAACATGGAGGTTACTTCAGTCAGAAAGCATAGTATCATTTACTACAAAGCATAACTAAGATGAGTCAGCTTGCTGAAAGAAAATTCTACTGGTGAAGCATTTGATATTGATGCACAGAATGGTTTCAGTAATTTTCATTGCCTTTTTGTCAGCTAAATGTTTTACCAAGTTACTGCTCACGTGCAGAGTAGAAAATAATGGGACCCCTACATCTTTCAGAAATGAATTTCAGATTCAAAGGTAATACAAAGCTGTTCCAAGGAGCGATTATACTCCAGATGGAGTCTGTGAATCTCCAGTCTCACCCTCCTACACTGGGATCTCTGTTTCATGCTCACAGCTACCTCCTTCACATCCCTACAAACAAGGGCTCAATTCTGTCCCTCCAATCCTACCTACTTTCCCCATTGCTCCTGCCATACACCACTCCCAGCCCCCCAGCTACTTAACAGAGTGTTTGTACAATGGAGCTCATCTGAGAACTCTAGCAAGTGCCACCCCAAGCAGTTGTTCACTGCTTTCACACACAATTGCATTCCAGTTTAGGAACCTTGAGGTGACAGCTCCTTACACTGGAGAAATCTCCAAGAACCAGTGTAGTAACAAAAAAGGATACATATGAACTCCAAGTTCTCCCCCACCTTCTGCAACAGTCTCAATTATTTTCTTCATGACTTCTGCATGCCTGAAAAACAGATCAGAAAATATTTTAAGGAAAAAGTAATACCTCCCTCCTCTCAGTAAGATTAGGTTCTCTGCAAATCAAATAATTTTGGACTGTTAGTTTCAGAAACAGCAAGAGGAAATTTTCAGTTTACTGAGAAAATAAAATCCCAACAGTAACTGACAGATAATACTAAGTGACGAATGTAACATTATCTTTAAAACTCCTTAAGGAAAGTAAAAAATGTTCCATGCCACAATGGAGACTGAGTGCCATAATGAGAGTCAGTACATACTGCTTGACGCTAGTATAATTTTTAACTGCTAAATTCCAAGAAAGCCACCAGGTAAGCCCCCAGAAGGTAATTGTGACCAGCAGGAAGCCACCAGAAGTTCCTAGATTCCTCCTGAAGAAGATGCCTAAAACTGCTGCAACATTCTTGGCTGCCTCTGCTGCACTCTTAAATTTGTAAAGCTTAAGAGGTTTCAAACACTAAAACAAGTCATAGTTTCCTAGGCAGGTTAAACTAACCCTGTATAAATTCAGAACTGCTGCTCTAGGACTGTTTTAGGATATGGAAATTTTCTCTGGTGGTAACTTGGGTTCTATAGCAAATCAACAGTTTCTAAGGTACTTTATTCTCTCTTGTGACTGTTATTGTAAAGCACTACAGAGGAGGATAAATATTTCCTCAGGTCACTAAGTTTTTACATTCTCATCAGTGACATACCCAACCTACTATGCAACACACAATATTTATGTACAAAGCTGATCCTGGGAATATAACAGAGAATTACAGAATAGCTAAGGTTGGAAGAGACAGTCTTCATCTAGTCTAACCCTCCTTGCTCAACGAGCAGCAAACTAGAACAAATTGCTCAGGACCTTATCTGGTCTGGTTTTGAATATCTGTAATGATGAAGGTTTCAAATCTTTTAATGACCAGGTACAATTTGCAATGGTCTTGTGTTCAGTTCTTACACCACTTAAACCAGGGGCTGAAGAACATACCAAGTCAGAGGGGAAAACAACTGTATTTATGTTTTATTTATATACTTGTAACACAAACTCCCAGGCAGTGTAACTAATCTTTCTTTTATCTATACTTCAACTTTGTTTTAAACACACGATTCCTTAGGCAATCTTTATCAGTGATGTCATACAGGGCTATGGACATCCACACACACAGCACTGCAGGTTAGTGAGCAGCAGTATTTTGAAATGCCCATCCTAAAACAACCTACGTGCCGACTGACAACAAGAGTTTGCTTAACTTTCTGACCATGCTTTGATATCAGTATGTCAATTTAAATAGCTCACCAGCAACTGGTACTTAGTAGTTACTCTGTAGTTAATTGTGCTGCCAGCAACTGCAAACAAGGAAGGAAGCTGTTGCAAAGCTACCAAGACACATTGTAAACAGGAACATGCAAGTCCAGGGAAATACTAAAGGTCAGCATTTGTCATTTGCTCTTCATCTTTGCAAATCAACTAATCCTCACAGCGGATTCCAATTCTGGATCCCCACGATGTCCATGTGGAACACATGCCCTTTCAGGTGCCAAGGCCAGTTGCTTCTATACAGGAACTTGATCACTGCCAAAACTAAAGTTTTGACCTTATCTATAACTGTGGACTATTTTTTTTCTGATGGCACAGAATATAGGTCACCCTGAAGCTATTAGAAGTCTCTAAGAGCATACTGGCTCAATTCACTGCTCCTTACAGTTGCCTCTAGTCACTTCCTTACAGATATTTAGAGTACATAAGAAGGAAAAAGAGTTGAGAAGGCTATCACCATTTAGTCTGAAATGGAGAAAAATAAGCCCTCAGAATCAGTGCAAGTAATTACAGTTAAATTGTAAATATTTAGTAGTAACTTGTTTAATAGTCCCTTCATAACACCCACATAAAAAGCTGAGAATTGTGATTAAAGCAGCTTACAGCAATTAATGAGGAAGTTAACTATGTTCCTCCCAGTACCATAAAAATGCTGACAAGAAATAAAACTTCCAGCAGAGCTGCAAGATGAACAATTTTAACTAACTACTTAAAATAGAAGCTATGTCAAGCAGCTGCCAACAGCATCCAACTGCTGTTTCTTTCCTTTCTCTGACGCATGACATGAGGATACTCACGTCACAACAAACAGATAAGTTAGTTTAGTATCATACAAATATCCTACATTACACAATTCTTGTAACATGATGGGAAGCAACAGTGGGTAGCTAAACACTTGTATTTCCTAGCTGAATTAAAGACAATAGTCTCAGCTATTATTTTTTACCTCGAAAACCCAGACCTTCTTAGCTGTTAGCCTTACCAAGAGAGTAAGAGAACATATACTTAAAACCTTCATTGGATACACTGTTGGCCTCTTTCTTCACAGTTTCAAGATTACCTTTTCAAATCTTTCAAATGTTAAGCAGTTGCTGGTCAACTAGATTGCTATTTGAGAAGAACTAGACACAATGTTTCCTCCATATTTAAGATGAGCAGCAAATCTGTCTCACTTCATTATAAATCATCTCTTTCATTCTTAAAATTGAAACAAGGCTCATGATGCAAACCATTTCTTCAAGTGTAGATGTGGATTACATAACAAAGGAACTGGCACTTCACTGGCTTCAGGGGAAAAAGTGAAAACATGACCACAGAGCTCTCACCCATGAAGAGACTCAATCCAAACTCACAGATTAACATTACATTGGTTCTTACTCTGCAAAGGTATTAGCAAAGTTACGCAGAGGCCACAGGCCAGTATAAAACCCACACTTCTACCCAGTCAGTGAGTGTGGTCATGCCCAAATATCTGGTCATTATGTTTCTTCTGAGAGTGCCCTCCCAGCCTGCATCCATCAACAGAAGCTTCTTCCCAACCAATTTATTAGCAGGGCTTCCAGAAAACACAAACTTTACTAAGGCCATGAATATATATCCTCATAATAAGATCA